TTTAGTTAAATTGAGGATTTTGTAAAATGGTTTCACAAATAAACACAGTTTTTAAAAAGTTAGCCAGACTTAAGTGTCAGCCATATTGTAAAAAGTTGTAAAACATTGCAGTGCAGTGCAGAAAAGTGATTGCACAGTGTTGCACCAGATTGGAAATCTTTGTTGTTTCACAGTTTCAAAGAGTGAATTGGAAGTACTCAGACCTTCTAACATACCAGCCCCAACCCTAATAATGAGCTAGGTGCCCCATGGACTCTCATTAGAAAATACATGAACAGTAGAACAATAATCTGACTGGGAATTAAGTATGTACATGTTACATGCTTACTTGCACGCGCACACACACACACACATACAGGCTTTATCACCTGGTGTGCTCTGTGCCCCCATGAGAGGAGGCACAAGGTCTCCTTCTCCTGTCTAAATGTGTGTTTTATCATCATGTATGTTTTCAAAGTGTTTTTTTTATTATTTTGTTGTCATTGTCTTTTTTTTTCTTTGAAAAATTAAAAATTATACATAAGAAAAATGTAAAAAACAATCTTCTTATACATTTGTGTTGTGTTCACAATAACACAGGTGCAGGGGAAATACTGAATTCACGTTCACATGAAGATACGTACTTCCTTGATCCACACACACACACATACAGGCTTTATCACCTGGTGTGCTCTGTGCCCCCATGAGAGGAGGCACAAGGTCTCCTTCTCCTGTCTAAATGTGTGTTTTATCATCATGTATGTTTTCAAAGTGTTTTTTTTATTATTTTGTTGTCATTGTCTTTTTTTTTCTTTGAAAAATTAAAAATTATACATAAGAAAAATGTAAAAAACAATCTTCTTATACATTTGTGTTGTGTTCACAATAACACAGGTGCAGGGGAAATACTGAATTCACGTTCACATGAAGATACGTACTTCCTTGATCTTTCATCTGTACCCCAGCACATGATTGATTCTGCTGATTAAAAAAAAAATATATATATATATAAGTAAGATTAGTAAGCTCTAATAAACCCCGCCTACCCAGCACTTAACAGTAGTAGACAAAGTTAGCAACTAGCCTGTGAACATTGTGGAGCATTTAGCTGACCAAAACGGAGCTAAAAGGAGTGTGATATTGGATTTTTTATTCCCCAAGTGTCCAGAAGCATGACTTCACATGCTGCTGTGTGTAATTAGGAAATCTAACATGGTAGCCATATCAGCCATGGAAGTTGATGATATCTGAGTGTTGTGTTTACAACTTGTTGCACCGCCCCCAAGTGGCCAAAAAACATCAAATGCAGGTTTAAAATAAGAATAATCAAGTAACAAAATGAAGATGTTCTTCTAAGTATCTATTTGCAGCCTCTCTGTAAACTCTGAACTTTTATATTAGCATTACAGCACTGTGATGAATATAAAGTAGCATATTATATTTTACTTAACAAGTTCAAGGCTCTTCTTAAGTCCTGTTAATTATATAGATATGTAAAGAATTAGGTCCAAAATGAAAAGTTTAAAATTTAAAGGGAAAAAATTACATATTTACATACAGAATATACTTATACCTGAATGCACCACTCAGTAAAAGGCTGAGATGGAAGTCCATTCATGGAGAGCTGCTGTCAAAGACAGAAAGCACATGGTAAAAAGACTATTGATAATTCTCATGCATTGCCAGTGTTTAACCTCTGGAGCTGGTAGTAATGAAATTGCGCTTTGGTTCAAACTGCTGACAAGGGATGATTCAGAGACCCGGAAAGCCCTCCGCCTCCTGCTTCCCGCTTCCACTGCGCTTGTATAGGACAAATGAGCTCAAGCAATTAACTCACAAGTTAAATGTGTCTCATATCTATTGACATATTTCCAAAGAAATCGAGAATAGCGGAAATCAATGCAGCTGGTCAATACGAGGAGAAACCAGGTAGTCAGCTATAACTCTGATAAGGTGGTATTGTTGGAGTTATTTACTTGGCTGTCACTCATCCAACATTAGTGTTTTTCCTCTTCTTTGTTATTGGGTCTGAACCTGAGGTAGTTATCCTTATAGTTAGCCTTGTTCACTTTGATTAAATCACTCCTTATAAAAAGAGAATCCTTACTTCTACAATTTAAAAAATAAAAAAAAATAAAAATAAAAAATAAAAACCTACAACAACCCTGGTTGTTTCTACTTATAAAGAGGTTTGAGCTTTGGGCTAAAATGAAGCCAGGAAAAAAATAGGCATGGTGCAGACATGACATACAGGAGCTGTTGGGGGAGCTGTATTCAGGCAATTAATTTAGTTGTTTTGCTGCTGGAAAGCCCTGAAAGTGCATAGAAGGAAAATAACTATTACTACAGAACTGAAGCTGTTACTTGAGCTTCTCTTTATTTCCGGGCATCGAGACATTCATTAATGTTATCAGACTGTTTTTACCACAACTTTTGAACACAGAGTACACTGTTCCGCATAGTGTTGCTTTCGGTCTTTGTTATGACAGAATTATTTTTGGTTATAATTGAATTGTCTGGAATTAAATTTCAATGTTTTGAAATAATCTTTTTATTGAATTAAGTTTCACATCTTAACAAATATGCTGGTAGGAAAAAAGGACTCCCAATGCATAATCACCCCAAGTCTACAGTTTGACCTTTTGATGATTCTATTGAATGCAGAAAAGCATCTGTTGCATTTCTTTAATATTTATCGTCCAGTACTGAATGACAGTGTGGACTTGATAAAGTTCATGTGCGATTACCAAACCAGCGTCATATCTGGCTATAATGACATCCAGTTACACTTCTCGCAGTAATCAGAAGCTTCTTTTCTTCTGTGCGCACTTTCTCTTCTCTTCACTTAACGGTGTCGCTTATTGGTTTTTTATAAAAAGGAAAACATATTATACCAGTGTGATGCAAATTGGGGATTTAAATTACAGCACAGTAATTTAATAAGACAATGTATGTAAATGAAAACGGTATCACAGATAAATCAGTTGTGATTTTTGACACTACCAAGCTGGACTGATGGCTATTAGACAACAGAAGTCTGAAGTGGAAAAAAGCAAAAAGCTTTTTCTCTCACCTGACATGGCAGAGCAAAAATAATTGCAGCAAAATAAAATTTGAATGATGGCTCAAGGAATTTTGAAAATTTATCCTGTGCAAACATTTATTAGCCCTCTGCTCACCTACTTCCTCTTAAAGAAATATTTCATTATATTTATTCGCTTTTTGCTTCGAGTTAAATGAGAAGATTGATACCACTGTTGTGTCTGTACATTAAGTACAACACTGGAGACGATTAGCCTAGTTTAAAAGCCCATAAAGCCTGGAAACGGGGAAACAGCTGGCCTGGCTGTTCCCAGGGTTAAAGCGCACCTCCTGTATCTCTACAGCTCACTAATTAAAACGTTATAGCTTGTTTGTTTAATCCATACAAAATCCATTAAACTGGAGGGATGTACTGTATGCTGGAAATATTTATTGGCGGGAGCAGTGCAGAGCAATGCTAGCTGTTTTCTCTTGCTTCCAATCTATGCTAAGCTAACAGCCTTCTAGCTCTAGATTCATATTTAGCATGCACACTGAGTCATATCGACCTTTTAAAGCTCACTTAGCAAGAAAACAAATAAGTTTCCTTCACAGCAAAACTTTTTTTTGACATTTCTGCTTCTCTCCATTCAGTAAAATTAATTCAGAAGGCATAATGCCCACAAGTCACTTCCATCCTTTAGTGTTCTAGTTAAACTGGACCAAATCCAATCACTTTAGTCCAATTCATGCCATGTAAACTTGCAAATACCCTCTCCTTCAAGTGCTTTTTTCCACTTTTCAGAATAATTTTTGACAACCATTTATCACCATAGCTGTGATCAGGTTACCAAGGCAATACTCACATTACAGACTGAAAAGATTCCAGCTAATATAATGAAAAAAAAATAGTGTCAGTATGAAGCTGAGCTCTCTGCCAAGCAGAATCCTCTGATCGTCTCACATAAGCAGAGCAAAGCACCTTTAATATCAGCCAGTGCCACATCTGCATGCAGCAGGATGTCAGCTTTCATTCCACTGCATTTGTGAAATTATATTTGAAAATGGCAGAAAAGAAGAACTAGAAAATGTGCTATAACAGCTATTTCTAATTCATTTTGAAAGAGATTTAGCTGCATTTTTTTCTCCAACTATCTGGCTCCTCTCAGTTATCAATTATATAGATGTATATTGATCCATGAGCAAGCTGCAGACTCGTCAATATTCAAAAATTTCAGACATCCTTTTTTCGGTTGCTCAATTTCTCAATCACTATTATTTCTACTTTGATTGATACCTTCCCCCGCCTCTCTATACCATTGGAGGTCTACTTCATCACCGGAGGAAAACAATTTCATCCACTGGCTCCACCTCATTCTCCATTCGACTGTAGAGAGAGTGTGTAGGGGGGCAACAAGCTTTATATTCCTTTCTGCAGGCTGCAAGTCAACAGTCTAAAAAGCATCTCTTCAATCTGTGGAAAAAGGGAGGAGTTGGAGTCTGGGCAGCTACTGCACAAAGAGAGAAACCACTGAAATCTGCAACTATTGTCTGGCACTGGAGAGGGAGATGGAGGAGTGAAAGATCTGAGCAACAGGGGTAAGCCTCACCGGATTTTCAAAGTGATTGCCTCTGGGAGTGAAGCCGTCGCTTACATCTGCAATTATCACGTCCATTTATCTATTGATGAAGGACTGGTGATGGTTACGCTTGATGGTTTTTGTTAATGGAGTGATTCAGCTGTTTTTCTCATAAAGGAATCATTATGTAAATCAATTTTACTTCCCTAAAGGAGCTCATTTCCTTTGTTTATATCTTTTAAAGCCTGAACAGTGGGACAGCTGCACATTAGGACTCCAGTCGCTGCTACCTGGAATTTCTGGTAAATAAACCTGAAGATGGTTGTGGAGAAAGCCACTGTATGTGAATTGGGGAAGTCTAGGGTGGGCTACTAAGAAACTGCATTTGGTAACGAAGCGCCTGCCTTGACTCAAGCAATTATGGTTCAAGCACCTACGTCCGAATCAATTGCCCTGGGGCCACACAAACAAAATGATGCCCAGGAGACAACTCTCAAAAACACTGAGTCCAGCTCACTGAAACCAACATGGAAAGAGATCACGGTGGATTTCATAATGAGAACCAAGATCCACGGATTGAAGTTCGTCTTCTCTCTGGACAAGTCGAAACCACAGCGAGTCATCTGGATCATGGCCTTCTTTGTTTGTGTCGGTCTCCTCATCACCTGGTCCTGGAATCGAATCCTCTACCTGATGTCCTACCCTGCTATCACGAAGATCTACATGGTGTGGGCTCACAACATGTCCTTCCCAGCTGTTACTATCTGCAATAAAAATGTTTTCCGTGTATCCACTCTGACCAAGGATGACCTGTATCACAGCGGCTACTGGATGGACCTCATGTATCCTAATCACACAGTGATGGAGAGGAGCCTGTCCATCCTTAAGGACAGCCACAAACAGGGTCTCCTGAGCCTGCTGGATTTCAACAACTTCACCCCGCCCCCTGATTACCGCGTCAACACCACTGAAATGATGGGACGGCTCGGTCACCAGCTGGAGGACATGCTGCTGGAGTGCAGGTTTCGTGGGGAAACATGCACCTACAAAAACTTCAGCACTGTATGTACAGAAATAAAGATGGTGTTTGTCAGGTGTGGATATGAATGTTGTTTACAAGGTGTATTAATAATTCATGCAAGCATTTGACAATGCTCCTTCCAGCAGGCATTCTCTCAGGGTGTTTTAAGGTGTTGATGTTTTCAAAGCTGCAAACAAGACTGTCCTGTTTTTGCCTCTCAAACATGACAGCTATTGCCTTATTAAACTTGATGTTTTCAAAAAGTAACTCAAGGAAACAAACACAACGCTACCTTCACGGTGTGTTGGAAAATCAATGTCATGTCATCATCAATGACTTCACTGTCTACGTTACAGTTTCTGAGGTTTCTCATTCACCCCTGTTCACACCCTGGCGAGTTGTTGTGTTGTCAGGTGTTTGAATACCTTTTTCCTTTGTAACCGGTGACACCAGTATTAAGGAAGAAAAATTAGAGCATTAATAATTCAGACATCGTAAATCAGTCCAAATTAAATTTTAAGCTTTCTAATTAAACATCTGGAGGGCATGTAGAGTATATGGTCTTGCTTCAAAAATCCAGTCGAGTTTCCCGTTTGAAACACCAGACGGAAGTCTATTATACCCTCTGAGTAACTGCTGGATGCTGCATGAAGGAAGTGGATGACATTTGCAAACCATAGTCCTACTATTCCTGATGGCAATATTTATAATAAATACTTTTAACATAAACTGGCAGCTTTTAACACCATCAGCTAATTTCACAAGGCTAAATGGGGAAAACTTGTGCAGAGAGAAGCATGCAAATTTATTTCTACGGCATTGAAAATAATAAATCTGGGAACACGCTTGTAGATTTAAAACACAAACCCATGGCTGGCATTTCACCACTTGTCTTTGCAGATTCAAATCTGAACATCCAGTTCAGATTCATCTAGATTCCAGTCATAAAAATCAAACATGTAACTGTGACAGCTTCAACTGGACTGAGACCTTTGAAATGTAAAATCCTGCATATAACAGGATGTCAGCTGTCTACAGGGGCTGCTTTGCACAAACCAGTGCAGAGCCTCCACGCTCTTAAAAATCCGCTATCATGGCCACATTCGCCATGAATGGGTGATAATTGGGATTTAATCTGTGTTGTGTGCTTGCATCGTAAGCAGCGCACGGCGTGGCTGTGCTGTGTCTGAATAAAGCTCCTGTTTTTTATCCAACCCTAAATCTGAATGTTTAAAAATAGTCACTAGTTAGATGCTTTCTACTCACTTTGCAGACCTCATTATGTAGCCAGCTGGAGGAAGGGACCAAAGCTCTGTCTTATCTGTTTTAGCCGCATGTAAGTCTGAGTCTGGACATGGAACACTGACTCTGATCTCTTGAGATCAGCTTTGCCATCGCCACGCCGATTGAGTTTTTACCAGCAGCCCTCTTACTACGACTTCACCACACTGGATACTGATGAAAACTTACCATAAGATGGATTCCTTTTCTTTTGCAGGGTGAAATGTTGTTTTGAAATGTAGTGAAAACAGAAGTGGAGAGCCAATTTGTTGGACAAGCCAGCAAACACATCATCTCAGCAGCCACCTATTTTTGTCTGGGTGCTACAGTACATATATATACCCTGTTACTATTTGCCAAATACAGATATTTGGATGACCTGGATCATTAATGCAGCAAGTATGGCTCAATGGATCAAATTAATCTTTAACTTAAATGGTATGGAAGCAAAAAAACGCCATAAATTATATATAAATAAATTATGAATTCTGTGAGCAACTGAATACATAGTTCTAATAATTAATGTTTAAATTTAAATTAATATCTTTTCATCTATCTGAATTTTTATGAATTGTAGTGTCTGCATTTCACCAATTGAAATTAATTTTATTTTATTTGGACACTTGTTTGTGAATCTAAAATCAAAAATTTTAAATTGCCCAACGCGAAGTTACCCAGTGGATATATTTCATCAAATATTTCAATGCTTTGAATTAAGTGCTATTCATTTACAACATTAAATATTCAGTAGTGACTGCATTTCACAGTTATGTATTCAGTTGCCTGTAAGATTCTTTCTTTGCCTCCACAGTGTGAAAGCCGTATGTAGGTGTTGCCACAATTATAAATGGTATAAAAGTAATGTGCTTAATACTGCAGGTTTTTATATTGTGCTGAAATACATGAGGAATAGATATTCTAGTCGCTACAAGTGTTACATAACCAATCAATTCTACAGTCTGATAGTGTGTCTCACATTGATAGACTTATCTTGAATTTTCTCAGCCTCTCAAGCTGTATTCAGAATTTTAAGCTTTATTTTTCTTTATCCAAACTGTAGCCTGAGTTCAGTTTGAAATGTCAACACCGCTAATCATAATGCTGATATATTGTTTGGCAGAGGATGGAAAATTTTCCAATCACAGGGAAAATGCATAAAACTGAAAAAAATATGCCAGTCTGTGTTAACTGTGAGTGTTGAAGCAAAAGCTGAAAATAAATAACTCAAGCCAGTTTGATGAATTAAATCGGAGAGATATTTGGTGTGAGCAAACCCACCGTAGTGATTGCACATCAATCGTTAAGTGCCGCTGAGCTTTACTGGCACAGGTTTGGTCTCTTAAGAAGTTTGTAAGTCAAGACACACAAATGTCTTTAACAAACCCGATTTAGAGTTTGTTTGTGTGTCCAGAGAGTCCCACCTCAGATGATTCCTATTTAATGACGGCAAAATAGTACATTTACTCTAAATTACTCAGGGGAAATTTGGAGTGAAATTGGGTAAAGATTGATAGCTGCTGCTGCTGCTGCTGCTGCTGCTGCTGAAGAACCCTCATTAATTCCTCAAATCAGCAAGGTGCATGTTGAAGTCGGTTCAGCTCTCTCTGATAATCACAAAACCTCTGCAATGATTACCTGTCCTGCACAATTACAAGCTCACATGTAATACATCTTGTACTGGTACTCAGTTTACTACAGGTTTGACTTAACATTCATGCTCCTTCTGTGCTTTTTTTTTTTTTTTTTCCACAGATTTACACACGCTACGGAAAATGCTACACTTTCAACTCGGGATTAGACGGCAATCCTTTGTTGACCACGTTAAAAGGCGGCACAGGGAACGGCTTGGAGATCATGTTGGACATTCAGCAGGATGAATACCTGCCTGTTTGGGGAGAGACAGGTCAGTGCAGCTTTAACCACCATTCTGACATTTTCAGTAACACTTTATCTTGTATAACAGTTATGTGAAGGTTTCTCCATTTGCTTCGTCACACGGGAAAACCCAGCTACACTTCTAGTCTTTTGTCATCTCTATAACAGGCTGATGTGTCACTTCATATAGAAAACAAAACCCAAGATTTCTCAGGTCTTATCATTCACTTCCTGCTAAATCTTTGCATTCTTTTGCACTTCACAGAAGTGATGTACTACTGTGTTTAATAGCATATGATGTTGATATGTTTCTGCAGGTCTAAAACCTGACATTAGGCCTCATAAATTGCATTCACTGACATATTGTTTCCACTTTATGGTGAACAACCACACCACTGTACCATACATTCATAAACTAAACAGCATGTAATAAATCTGTTAAATATTGATGCAGCACACCAACATATCAGTATTTCTTTCATATTAGGCATGTGGTTTAGAAAATCTCTGTGTGTCCACATACAATTCAGCATCACTGCCAGTGGAAGGATAAAGAGCCACAAAGTGGGTTTCCATTGGGAGACCGTACCTTTTTTTTTTTTTTTTTTTTTTTTTTTTTTTTTTGTTACATTTTCTGGCGTGCTGTATCCACAGATGAGACCTCCTATGAAGCAGGCATCAAGGTTCAGATCCACAGCCAGGATGAGCCGCCCTTCATTGACCAACTGGGATTTGGTGTGGCCCCTGGTTTTCAAACTTTTGTGTCATGTCAGCAGCAACTGGTACCTAATGTTCAGCCTCCTCCCCTCCAACCTCAACCTTTTTTTTTTTCGCTCTGCTTTATTTTGTGTTCGTCCCCAAATCCTCGCCATCCATTACCTCTGTGTCACAGAGCCCGGAGCAAAATCAGATCTGTGATTAACCTTGTGTGGGAAATGTGCAGTTTAAGTGTTAAATAAACAGCCAGTGAATCTGGGTAAAATAAATGAAACTGAGGAGTCGTAGCAGCCAAGGAACATTGATAGAGCAGGGCCAAGTAATGATTGGATGCGAGCGTACAAGCATACTGTGCTTATCAGAGCCAAAAGAACCTCAGACTACACAGCATGCAAAATATCTGGCAGCTCAGAGTGTTTGTTTTATTTTTCATCTTGAGTCTTATTGAGGGAAAAGTGAATATATGAAAATATGAATACAGCTATTTGAATGCTGTGTCTCTGGTGGCACATTTAAAGAGAAGGCAGAGAGAAGCCGTGAGGAAGACGCAGACATTTCACACAGACATGTTCATCAGACTTTAATGATCAAAATATTAACTGTGATTAATAAGAAGTCGACCTCATTTGAAGGTTTTGAAGAGAGAATTAACAATCTCTTATAATTAATAGCCTTTAAAGAAAGTGTTAAAGTAATATTAAACATTATGAATGATTTCTCTCACTGACATTTTTGCTAAAATTATCTACTGGCAGCAGCATTCAGCCTGCTTTTAACTCTTACTATAAAAAACTGACCGCTGAAGACTCTCAAGACTTTCTGTATCTTGAGGGGAATATCTTGTTTTTCATGTTAAATTGAACTATCAAAAGAAGCCTGGTGCACCTGTCATCATGTTCGTTTTTTTTCCAATTTCATTAACACTTAAACTCTGAATCCATAGATAACAAAGATGACCCACAGCTATTTTGAAGACATATTTTAAAAATGTATTATGAACCAGGGACATAATAAAATGAGGGTTTTAGCACCCAATATCAAGGGAAGCAGAAAGAGCCTTTGGCAAATTAGCTCTTTGTCTGCAACTATCCCCTCACTGCTGCCAGTGAAGGATGAAAAGTAATAACGACAGTTGTGCCCAAATTGATCAGAAAGCCTATGTGCAAGGTCATAATACTGAGCTCTCATGGATTTCCTATCCAAATCTAATGAAACTGTACGGCAGTTATGTGATGTTGCCAAGGCAACAAATTCAAATTGTCTCTCTTTTTTGTCTTCGCCTGAATAGCACACAAACCAAACACCAGTCTTTGATTTCCAAAGGGAAACAGTAGCAGATTAGGAAAATATCCTCTGACAAACAGCAAAACCCTCATTGTAAGCCAAGAAAATGGCGGCTGTGCAACAAAGGATTTTAGGTTTTTACAGTGATTACCTTTGAGATCAAGTGTATTTTTGTATTGTGCTACGTGATTATTAATATTTATATCAACCCAATCAATCATCCTTCACAATCAACCCTTGTGAAGTATTGAAGTCATAGATACAGGACTAAATCTAATTCATTATTTTAACAATTAATCAGACCTAATTTAAATGATTTTGCTCCTAGAGTTAATGGTCTTGGTCAGTTCATGAGCATGAGATAATGAAATGATCAAATAAAATATTCACCCTTCTTTAAGCAGAATAACATGGGATGATTGAGGCAGAGTTCTGGTCTCCTGAAACAGACACTTGGACACCACAAAGATGACAAATTTTATTTTTGGGAAGCAGTTTTGAATATATGTCTCTCTCTCTCCCTCTCTCTCTCTCTCCCTCTCTCTCAAAATGTTGTAAAATGCTCGAAGTGTATCATCACTCAGCCATCTCCAAGAAGTGAATCTGGACTGTTAATCACTATCACAAAGTTTCTGCCAGAAAGCAAAAGTGCATGGATTGTCATTTATAATCATGACAGGAGCGCCCACACCAGTGACAGCTAAAAGACATGTTTACGACCTAAAAGATGTGCTGAATTAATTAGGCTGTCATTAAAGTCTGGGCAGCATTAATTTCACTCAGTCTCCTACGAGTACAGTGACACTGCTCTCAGTGTAATAATAGACAGCTGGATGAAGTACTTATGATTTCTTTTGACTATTATTTTTTGTAAAGCTTCTGTCAGAGGAATTAAATTTTTAATAGGAAGCTGTGACTTGTGAGCCATGAGACATGAAGACTACAACCACAAATTTTGGACTAGAATTATGAATTGTATTGTAACTGAACTGTGTATTCACTCAAGCTTGAGTACAGTTAAGAAGAGAATAGCTGAACGAACCAGTGCACCAATACTGCAGAGTCTTTACACACCACCGAGAACTGTAGCTGTTTTGTTGTCAGGCTGTCTGTGCAGAGGGGTTGACCAATTTCTGTCCCTTACCTTGCTGTTGCTCCTCTTTTATTTTGATAATGATGTGGGCTGTGTTCCCTCACCCCTCGCCCTAGATGAGACGTCCTATGAGGCCGGCATAAAGGTACAGCTTCACTCTCAGTCAGAGCCTCCTTTCCTCCATGAGCTGGGCTTCGGGGTCGCCCCCGGCTTCCAAACGTTCGTTTCCACCCAAGAGCAGAGGGTAGCGTATGACTGTCTGGGCTTGCTGCATGCCTAAACCCCCCACCCCCCCAAAAAAGATACTGTTTTGTTAAATAGCTATACACCCATCATCGAGTTCCACACTTCCATCTGCTGGCCCCCTTCCCCTGAGGAATGGATTCATCTGCTCTCCTTCATGTGGCTGGAAAAAAAAACATCTGCAGTCCTTCCTTGTCGTCATTGTCTTCTCTGTTTAACAGATATCAGTAAAGAGCAGCTAACGTGTTTCATTCCAGCTTTAAACTATTCATCCAAGTCTGTTGCTTGACTTTACCCTTTCACTGCCATGTACACTTCTGTTTTTTCTTTTTTCTTTTTTCTTTTATGTGTTGTCGGGGCGATCCACTGGGCCGCTCCTTAATGTCATCTGGAGGGACCAGGCTGCGAGATTCATTATATTGTATTACCCATGAGGACTCTGGCATCAGTTTGAAGTCCAGCATTTATTGTGCTAGGGTTTTATCTGCAGTGTAACTCCAGTTATGAGAGTCCGTGGGCTACAAATGGAGTTCAATAAAGGCTTAATCATGTTTGCCAGTTTAAGTCCACTTCCTCAATGAATTGTACTCTATCACTGTGACTCTCGACTGACTAAATGACTGTTAGATTGTCAGAGTTAGCCCGGTTAGAGCTGGTGGAGATGATTGGGCATAACAGTGATCCTTAATGTGACAACAGCAGCATCATTTCTCTGTGAAGTTTGTCAGGAGGAAGCCTTCGGCATTGATTGCTGGCTAGCTTCCACCGCAATTAGTAGCTATGTGCTCAAATGCCCAAGCAAGCATCGCTGCACTTCATAAATAATTGGTTCAATTTTGTCATGAAAATGAGTAGTAGGCATTCATTACCATAAACTGCTGTAAACAAGACTTTTAAAGGGGACTGGAAGTCTGGCTGGTTTCTAACTGTGTCACTGTGTTCAGTTCCTTTAAAATGTCAAAGGGAGCTCTAAACAGATCGTGCGCACACATCGCTGCAGTTATAAGATGAGCACCATGGGTCTAATTTTAAGTGTGAACCAAAACCTTAAAAGTCATTAAGTACTGCTAATTAGTGGATTCATTAAGAATTCCCTGAGTTACTCATAAAAGTAGTGACCTGCTCTTCACCTTTTAATGAGAGTTTTACCTCTAATGAGACTGCAGACTGAATATACACTACATCTTCTTTACAGTTCATTGTTAAATTCACAGGCCTGTGCTGTCAGAGTGGTTTGTAAGAAACTTACATGGGCGAAGACTAGAAAATCTAAATAGAAAATCAACAATGAAACCACATTAGTAAGCTTTTAGAGAAGAGTTTATCTATTTGGACTTATTGTCTTTAAATATACTAATTACTGTGCATTAGGATGTTATGTTCTGTATAATGTCTGTTAATTCATGTAATTGTTCATTTGAAAACTGCAAACTGTTTATTGTTCTGACTTTCATTCTCAGGGTTGTAAAATTTGTCCATTGATTGTGGTGTCCTGTCTGAAACTACATATTTTACAGATTTCTCTTAAGCCTGTCTCTATTCCCATGGTACTCTGCTTCCTACCGGGGACTAGACCTGCATTAGTAATGTTCTGCATGACGTCTGCTTGCCGCTATACATGAGCAATAATGTTGTTCTGACTGGACATTTTGTGCAAATATTGTCTCAGTGCACATTTTCATTTAAATGCTTCAGTATTGTTTTTTTTTTTTGTTTGTTTTTTTTTTTTTTTTTTTTACGTTTAAGACATTTGTGTTGGGTTTTGTCAGCTTGTTGTCCTCTTTTTGTACTTATGCTGTACTGGGCTTTCATTATGTTATTCGTTGTAATCCCCTGTGCTTATATACTGAGAGAAAACATGTGCTGTTTGCTCTTTCAGCTTCAGTACCTCCCTCCGCCTTGGGGAGATTGCAAATCTACTCCCATAGACTCTGAATACTTCTCCACGTACAGCATCACCGCCTGCCGCATTGACTGTGAAACCCGGTACCTGCTGGAGAATTGCAACTGCAGGATGGTTCACATGCCGGGTATGAATTCAGACTGACTCAATCGATGAAAAATGTTGCAAATACTTGTGTCTTCATGTAGCATTTTTCTATTTGATGTGGAAGTATTTTATGTTATTTTAAACAGGGACCTCAACAGTTTGCACACCTGAGCAGTACAAAGACTGTGCTGACCCAGCTTTAGGTGAGCCCACACGCTGTACTATATAAGTTTGAAATACCACTGTAATATCTTTGCATTAATGTCTGAATTCAACCAAGTGTTCAGTCGTAGTGCCATGAGACTATTGCAGCCTTTAGATAATACCTTTGTAACTTTAGCATGGAATTACTTTAATCTCAGACAGTACTGAAGCAAAATAATAAAGTAAAATTATTGTTTAAAAATTCCATTAGGAAGATTTGTGATGTGTCTATGCTTCGCTGATATCAAATAAATCCCACAGCGCTTTTTCTCCCCCTCCTTCCTCTGTGTTATAGCTTCAGTCATTATTTGCTTTCATGGAAAGTGAACGATGGCAGCAAATGCAGTTTCTTATGTCGTGTGAAGAGATATTTTTAGAAGAAAGTTGAGAGCCTCTGTGTGCAGGTTTTGTTTGATTCTTCGCAGTGATCACAATATTTTTGAATGACTTTGATCATCCACAGACTTTTTGGTAGAGAAAGACAACGATTACTGTGTCTGTCAGACCCCCTGCAACATGACTCGCTATGGCAAGGAGCTGTCCATGGTTAAGATCCCCAGTAAGGCATCTGCTAAATATCTGGCTAAGAAATTCAACAAAACTGAGCAATATATTGGGTAAGTATTATGCGGTAGCAATGAGTTATTCAGACGATGGTCTCTTTTCCTTTTTCTGTTGATGTATGGGTGTACTGTGGAATAGCATGACCTGAGTCTCCATCGTTCACCTTCAATGTAACAATAATGAAAGATAGTTACACAGGAAATGTGAGATATCATTTAGTATAGAGTAATGTCACTGGAAATAAAATCTTTTTGGTGTGCTCTTGTCTGTCCTCTCCCCAGTGAAAATATTTTGGTCTTGGACATCTTCTTTGAAGCTCTGAATTATGAGAAGATTGAGCAGAAGAAGGCCTATGAAATTGCAGGGCTTCTCGGTAAGATTCCCGCAGACTCGGGTTCATTGTTACAGAAAAACGCAGCTGACCTCGGTATCAGCACTCTCAGCAGGTCCCTGTTGCATATTTCACATCGTGTGTGTTCACGCCCGGTGCTTTGAGGTTTCCTCTTTGAACTTGTGAAACAGGCTGAACACATTTTCATAATCTGATGCTCTTACAAGGGTAACAGGTCTGAGGAGAAGTTCGTGTTTGATGGACACTTTTGACAATTCTGCTGAGATTATTCAGAGAGATACTAAATTAAAAGTGACAGCATGGGGAAAAGTTTCACAGACTATTGTTCAGTTACTTTACCTGCCCATATCTATTAATCTCTCTTCTTCTAGGTGACATTGGAGGTCAGATGGGGCTGTTCATTGGAGCCAGTGTCTTAACAATATTGGAAATATTTGACTACCTATATGAGGTAAAGCAATGGCTTTTAAGTAGTTGAAATTTATACCACCAAGCATCTCTTTATTTATGTCTATATATAAGGGCAATTCATTACAGGAATAGTTTGACACTTTTTGGGAATTATACATATTCTCTTTTCTGCTTAGAGTTAGACGAGTGGATTTGCACCGCTCATGTTTGTACAGTTAATATGTAGCTGGAGCCAGCAGCTATTATCTTAGCTTAGTTGTACTGCTAATGTTTAATTTTAATGTTGATGTATTTCATATGTTTGTAATGTGTATCTGATGTTTTTGCATTCAGGTGTTTAAGGATAAGGTTTTGGGTTACTTCATACGCAAGAAACGACCACAGCGTTGCCAGAGCGACAATCTGGTAATTTTAGTCTCTCAGAATGGATTTGACTGAATGAAATGAATGTGATGTGTATTAGATGAGCTCAGGAACAACAACGGCAACAACAAAATGTCTGCTCACACTTGAAATGCTTTTAATGAACAGCACCAGAGAGAAATCAAAGCCACGCAACATTATGTCATCATTAGTTTTAATTTCTCTTGCAGAAACAATGTATCGTTTCGGAAAACACAATCATTAGTCATACATAAACATTGTTATTATTGCACAGTATGAATGCATAATCAGTATGATATTGCACAAATACAGTACTCTTTATTTACATTGTGAATATTATAGAGAAGCAGCACAAATTATTGCCTTTGATGACAAAAAGCTGCAGTGGTTTTACTGATGGAATACAGATGAGTATTTTAAGACCAAACTCACTTTCTAAGCTTCTTTTCTTTTTCTGAGTTTTTTTTTTTTTTTTTTTGTGGTTTGTTTTGCCACTTGAGTGCCCTTAAACTTCAGTGCATGGACAAGTCGAAGTGAAGTGTCTGACCTGCTTTCAGTTAACTTTTATTCATGACTCACAAACTGCTCTTATGATCAGAGGTAAAGGCCTTAATCATAGTTAATCCCACACACCAATCCACTTCTCAGGAATTTACACAATTTACAGTAGCTTCTCTATGTCACCCTCGATCATGTAATTACAGTTCACTTAGAGCAGGAAAAGCTGTTATTGTACTTGGGTTTTCTCGCTTTATGTCTGGCAGCGTGATTATTGCAAACTCAGAATAGATTAATGCGATAGTAGATGAATGAGCAGAAAGCAGAACAAGATTAAGAGGTCTGGGGATTTTATTAACATTTGATGATCAACTCATTTTCAAAGCTCCTCGAGGCAATAAAACCCATTTTAACATCAAAATGAAAACTAGAGTAATGCGAGGCATTTCTGTCTAACCCTAAATCACAGCATTTAGTTGAGCCCAGTGGTTTAAGACACTGCATCTAGAGGCACCTTTATTTCCCTTGCAGACCATTACATAAGGTTTATACAGGGCAATTAAGAGATTATTCATAACCACAACTCACCCTCTTAATATCAGCAATCATCAAATATTCTGCACATACTGCTGAATCAAACCTTGACAGTGGGTTTTACATCTCCAATTGTACACTTATTTGTATTAATGTAATTCTTGTGCTGTTAAAGATAGGAGCAAGTTGTTTTAAGTAAATTTTTTAATTATTGTAATAAAAATGTGACTGATTCACAGATCCATTACAGGAATTTAGTTGGGTTTGCACTCCAAGACTTAACAGGATAATTTGATGTTATTGATCGTTTTATTCTTAATGCCAGGCTTAAATGTCCTGGTTTGTCATCAGATCTTGGGTTCAGGTTTATTGCTCTGACAAAACACAGTGAGTTCCACCACTGATAACACGTTTCTTATGTCTACTTTTATTTTCTGAGTTATGGATATGGGCAACTTAAATCTGATCTGTGTTTCACCAGCACTGGTAGAACTAATAAACTGCTACTTTTATAAATAAATAAGTATTGACCATAGCTCAGGCTAAATGTGTAGTTTTTAGTTGTAGAAATGTTTTGGCTTAAGCCATTCATCTTAAGGTAATAAATGAGGTAAACTTGAAATATATGAACTATTGTCTATATCCTTTCAATGCAGATAGAACTTCATTTCAAAATCTAATCTGTAATAACCACTGGTCATGTCTCAAGTCCAAATAAAAGCTAAAAGCCCCCAATCCATCTCTGTCGAGGCAAAAACAGAAACAAAAGCTAAAACCTTTCCTCTTTTCTGGTGCTGATTTAATCCAAAGCATTTCAGCAGATTGTAGTTAAATGCAGACATTTCCTTTTGTCCCTGATTATACTGTTTGCACCCAGCCTTCTTGGCAAATCTCCGAAATGCAAGCTCTGTTTCTCTGTTATGTGTCACACAAGTCCAAGGCTTTTTCATCACATGTAAAAAATACAGCATGCAGAATGGGTTGTTCCACAATTTTATCTTCAAATTGGTGAAAAAGTTATGGGTTTGTGTCTGCATGAGGATTGTGTTTATGCATGCTTGGTTGCCTCAGGTTCAGAAGTTGGTTTGATAGCTGATGTGTGAAAAAAGATTGAAAAAAAGTTGTTTATTCTCCTCTGTAGAACTGGATTTATGTAAACTTAAGCCAACATAGTTAACAAGGAGGTTGTTTTAGTTTGGTTTCTGGACAATCAGTAATTCTACATTAAAATGTGGCAGTAGTCGAAGCGTTTATTTAGTGGGTTGATATTTACAGTATGTCATGCTTTTCCTAGAGTCTGACATAGTGTGATATTTACTGTATTCTGCTCCATTCATGTCATATGTTCACCTGCTTACTATAAGCCACCCTCTTTACTTCCTTTATCTCATATTCAATAACCGTTTTTCAACGAGTCCATTGTCACATCTCCACTCAAACAGCCTGACAATGAAGTAATGCATTTAGTTGTTTATTAGACTCTATTTTAAGTTTGAACTTCTTTCTCTTCAATGGTCATCAACACGTCTGGATGAGAGTAACTGCCCTGTCCTTTCCCTGCTTATTCAGAAAAAAACCCCTCAAACTTTATTTTGACCCGTCAGTACTTTATTGATGTCACTGAGGGGAAAACACTCTCTTGCAGTATCCCCTCACAAGTTTGACTTATAGCATTTGCATTGTGTTTTATTTTCATTTCAGTCACCCTCACCCATCTTTCTTTTCATCATGTCTATTCCAGGAGTTTCCAGAGAACCCAACCAGCCCTGGTGTCACGCCTAATCATGCCCCCAGGTAGCACACCCCATTGATAATAGATGCTCCCTCCCATGCTGTCCCTCTCTTTCATACATACTTGAGACCATCTCATACATCATTTCCTCAGTGGCTACAAATGATTTGGTTGGCTGTAGTAGGCATACAAGTGAAAAAGGGGGTGATTATCCAACTGCAGAGAGCATTTTGATATCTGCTGCCGTGTCAGGACAGGTTAGTTTTGGTGTGTGTTTGTATTTATTGGCTCAACAGAAGGCACGAGTTGGTTGGATTCTCCAAGTACAGAAAGATTTGCCTTTCTGCACTATGCAAAACTTGCTCCTTCCACTGAATAATGATGCTTTCTTTCCCAAGGGATAAAGCGCACTTCTCCTGTGAAAACAGATTACATATTTATTGAATCATTGTACAAAAAGCTGAACCATACAGGATCTATTTGTTTCCCTGCAGCACAGAGGTCCATTTCAAGGCAATGCATTTCAGGCTCATGCCAGATAACATCACTAGATGCATTACTTTGTGATGTTATCACAGGTCTGCATGCAGTGAGTTTGCACAAAATATAAATGGTCCTTTGTCTGCCGGAATAGCCATTTTTGTCAGTGGGACTACCAGTGTTGTTACCCACATATCAGCGGTTATCTACTCCGCGAGCACACATACAGGGAAATGCAGACATTTGTGGATGTTTCAACTTCCGTAACTTAAAGAATTTATTCTGCTAGTGTAAAATCAGGACTAAAAATATGCTGTTTTCTTTCTCCTCTCCCTCCTTTCACTCATCTTTCCCCACGTTCCCCCAATTTTCTTTAAACTCTCTTCTCACTACCTGTGAAACATATGCGATGTGGCTGATCTTGGAACCTCCAAATCTGTTGTATTCATTACCCTCATCATTGTCCACATATGTTTCTGTCATTCATCGTCCTCCATTATACATCCTATCCTTGTGTCTCATGCCTTAATAATGATTAACTTCATTTTTATTATTCGTTTTTGCTCCATTTCTCCTCACCACGTATGGTTTGTTTTTTTTTTAATTTTTATTCTCCGCGTCCTACCATGATCGTCCCGGTTGCTCTCATTTTACCTGTGGCTCATTTCTTTCCTCCGTTATCATCATCATCACTCCCTTCATCACCCCTCCCTTAACCCGGTTGAACTCGTCTTCCCTCCTTCCCTCCCCTCTGTTTTTCCAGAGCACCTGTGACACCCTCCGGAGTCACTCGGACAGTCTCGGATTCACGCCGAACATGTTACCTCGTCACCCGACTCTAGGCAACTTTGAGGAGTTTGCTTGTTGACAACATAAAGTAGGGGTTGGGGGTGGGGTGGCACATCCGGGGGACTTGACAGCAAACTGTGAAATAATTTATGTACTTAACAGAAAAATAGAAAAAGGGTTGAGTGTGTAACTCAAACAACGTATAGTAGAGTTTATCAATGCCTGAATAGAAATAGAATACTATCATCAGAAAAAAAAGAGACCACTTCCAAAACAGAACTCAGGTTTAACTGCCATGTCAAGGCATCAGTGTTAATTTATTCATGTTTCATTTTGTGGATTTGTTTTTCTTATCCAATCGCTTTAGAGTAAACAATCATTGAAAATAAATGTGTCCAAAAAAGGGATTCTGACCTGTGTTGAGATGAGTTACGTAATACTGTTGTGCCAGTTTAGCTGTACATCAATCAAATCAAAAGAAAAAAAAGGAAAAAAAAAATAGATTACATGTGCATTGGTGTGTAGCATTGCAGTTTCTTATCAGTGTTACATCTCCAGCATCTAACCAATGCTGTATTGAGTGACCTTATAACCTGTCACAAACTAGAACAGGAGAGCCTTTTTAGAAATCAGCTCAACTTTGAAGAGCTGATCGTTGGTTAAAAGAGCTGCTCATACCTGAATCAAAACACTGAAGGAGTGTTTAACGTTGCCTTTTGCTACTATGAGGCTTTGAATTGCCTCATTAATTAGACAACTGTGCTTATTCCATTTAAAAACAGAAGAGGAACTTGATTATTTGTATATATATATATGTATATATATATATATATATGCAAGTGTTTAGTTGTGTTCCACATAGACCCTGGGACGACAGAAGCTACTGAATTGGATGTTTTTGTTAACTTAACTCACTTTTTACATACATTAAGGATAAAAAAAAGAGGCCAGAAAAAGGCTGTTGATTGTATCTTTATATCTTTATATAGCTGACATTTTAGTTTTCATTAATGTTTCCCATTTTTTTGGGATAGTGTTGCTACGCTGACAGTCACAAAATAATGCTAGCATTCAGCTTGCTGTAAAGGTTGGCCCTTGTTACCATGGAAATTCATCAGAACAAAAAACAATCAGGCTTTCTTCCACCTTTTTTAATAATTCTGCCCCCCACCTCCCCCCTCCCCTTATCGTGTCTTAAAGGTGTTCATCAGCACAATCCCGCTCCCCCCTTGTGATAGTAATCTATTCTCTATTGAACATGAGTAGAGTTCATAAGGCTTGTTGGTGACATTCCTAAACTTGACAGAAATTTGTAAATAAACACAATCAAATGCCATGAAGAAATTCTATACTGCTCATGTTAGACATTTGTTATATATATATATACACACATAAAGTTTATGGTGATTAGAACATGACTGACAGCTGGATAGACTTTATTAGATATAAGAGAATTGCCTCAAAACATCAAAACCACCAAGCACCTCAGCCCCAATCAGTTCAGTTGATTTAAACAGAAATGCATTGTACAATTTTACCATTGTATCCTATCATTATTATTATTATTATTATTATTATAATTATTATTATTCCAGAACATGTAATGAGTCACAAATAACAGTTTGTGATGTATAAATGATTAAGTATAATAAACTCTATATTTACCCATCTTACTCATGTACACAACTTTTCTTCTTATCTTCGTGTCAGTCTACTTCCTCTCTTGTTAATGTTCACTCTGTCTTTATTTAAATCCTTGACACCACAGTTATGGACTTGTAGGTACACTTACACATCCGTCACTATAAATACTTTATTGAAAATTTCTTTTATTTTTTTTTTAAATGTGAAACTTTTCAAGTATAATGCCGATCCAGTGAGTGGTGTTCATAACACTGTAGCTTTATTACTCTGTTGTCTGTGTATTAGATGACTGTTGATGTGAAGCACAAACCCTTGGAGATCAGCCATCACTCGAAAGCCAATGACTGGACGTCTATGGTTGTTGACTACCTTTTGTGGCTCAAGTTTTAACTTCTCACACTGTTACACATGGTGTGTTCACTGCTCCAGCATTATCAGGAATAAGAGGGTACTCCAAGAGGAGCCAGAGACCACCTTGTTCAGAGACTTTATCCAAATGGAAATTTTAACTTTCAGGAAACAGAGGAAAAAAAAAAAAAAAGACAAGGTGAATCAGTGGGGCTATGTCCTGAGCAATAAATGCACTGAATCAGATACCACTGTTATCAAATTGACATTAAAGCAAATTCTTTTATTTGGGATTCCCATTTTGAATTCATGACGTATTCAATAGCTGGAATGGATGTAGACTAAACAGCTGCCAACTGCAACACAGATGTATGATATGATAATTGTATAATAACCATCATCAGCCAAATAAAGAGACACAAATGCCAGTTCATGTTACACGATGATGCTATTCTGAAGATGCTGCATTGCCATGATGATTTTTAAGTGTGTATGTGTGTGTCATGTTGTCGGGTTGAAAAGCATAAAAACAACCCAGCACCTACCGCAAACTGTGGGGGACACGTAGGATTTGTGAAAATGTCCTGGGTCTTTACCTCTCTCCCTGCCCCCTGCCTTACTATCAGTCAAGGAACAGCAGAGTGTATCTGAACTGGTAGAAACTATTACCTAATTGTCTGTGCTCATTAAGTAGTCCTGAATTGACATTTACTGCATAGTTATGGCCAAGTAGAAGATAATATTCTATACTGTTGCTATACTGTACAACAAACACAGAGATTTGAACTATTTTATTCTTACAGTTAATAATTTATGGCACCACCCATTTTCTTCCTTGCATGACCATTGTGTATTCCTATTATCTCTGGCCTCTTAATGTAATATTAGCCATGCTATTCACTTTGTATTGTTCAAAGTGTATTTTTGGAGCCAGATGAATCAAAAATAGTGCTCTCCATATCCTGTGGTACGTCTTGGATCTAACAAAATCCTCTTCAAACCAGGGTTGGGATTGTGCAATACTAAAGAAAACAAAGATATTATGCAGATGTGGAAAACTGCAATATCACACCATTTTTATGGACTCAAAAAACAATGTGGCTCGCAGTGAATCAAAAAATGTGCCTTTAAGACTGGTTCTTACAGGTAACATCAAGATTTTCTTGCGCACACAACTGAGGAACTGGACTTGCTTCATCTGGCTCTACATGCTCTGTGTGCATTTTATTGTAGATATGTGATTTTAACTCTTGAACTGTACATTAAATAGTTAATACACACTTAAATGCGCGTAACGTACTCAGTCTTAAATTGGCATAAGCGTTTCAAACCACCTCACTGACAAACTTAACTGCGTGCCAGCTGAAAGGCAGTGAAAACATATCGTCTCAGTCGCCTGCCGAGTTTGAGCAATAGGATCCTAGACGGACACAAAATAATCTTCTACGGTTAAAACAGTTTCGGTGTTTGTTTTTTCTCTCGAGCTCTGCTCATTGGTTAGATGTAGACGGGGCTCAGCTGGGAAAAGGTGGATGTAATTAAGCAATATTTAAATCTAAATGTGATGACAGTTGTGTGGTTGTTTGTCAGCTACAACTGATCAAACCTTGATGAAGCAGATTAGCTGATATACAAACCGTACCCAGTGAACCTAATCCTTAACTTTGATTGTTGCTTATTTTGTCTTGAATTTTATTATGTTACTGAGAAACATTTAAGATTCCAAACCAAGTTTTCAGGGGCTTAAAACAAAAATGACACATCTTATTCAAAGCTGATGTACACTGAAGAAGACAGAATTTAAAGTCAACCTTTTTTTTGTCACTGTTGAAAACATAAGCGCCGCTTAACAGCAGATCTGACAAAGACTTGTTCCTAAAATGTTGTGAAAATCATTTGCAAAGAAAAGCAACCATTGACTAAACAATCTCACAAGGTTAATTTAGTAGCTGTTCCGGAGCTTTTTGATCTTATCTCACCATCTTTGTCAGCGGATGTAATTTGCCCACTTAATCATGGATTTGATTGAAAGCTCCAGAGCAGCTACTAAACGAACCTTTTGTGAGATTACTTTGTCCTGTTTTCCAAGGTCAAGAATGAACTTCCAATCTCAAAAGCAAACATGTATTTATGTCGACTTTACTCCGTCTTATTGGCTGAAATATACACAAAAAGAATAACTGACAATATTCATCCCAAGTTCTACCAACAAAAGCAAAGATACTAGCAAAGTGCAAAATCCACTCTTCATTTAAAATTTAAATTTAGGCTGTATAAAGTAAATCTACAGCAGTTTGAAATGTCCTGTCATCACGAGATGATGAAATACTGAGAGCAAATTCATTTTTTTTTTTTTCATTATAACTTAATCCACACACAACCTTCAACATTTTAAATCCTAAAAAGAGCCTGCTAACAACTACAGATCTGAGTACTGTTTAAATCATTCAGGAGTTTCTGTACCAAATGAAGTTGGTGCTACATTTAAACAGATGCAAAAAAAAAGAAAAAAAGAGCAGACATTCCATCATTAATAAATACATGCATCCATTATCTCGTCTTACATCAGCAAAATGAAAATAAGTCCTTTCCCTATTAAGACAGCTACTTCAAACAACTCATTATGTAGGCTTTTATGGGATAAGTAGCACTGCAATAATCTGAAGTAAAACAACACTGCAAGCTGTTAACCATGTTAATATAATAAGTAACCAAAAATGGAAACAGCTAATGGTGCAAAACAATCATATGAAAATGCAGTTCATCTGCATTTTTTTCATCTCTAACATATCTATTACAAAAGCATTTCAGAAGGACATAATGATGATAAAGATGATGTCAAAAAATATCAATGTGTCACAAATGGTCCACTAGTCATTAACATACATATATATATATTGGCCCATTTATTGATAACCGGCTATAATCCTGGCTGTCAGTGTTCAATATATTTAATTATATTGATAACTAAACGATTTTAAATAAAACTGTCAGTTAACAAAGTGCACAAAAGACAAATACAAAAAAGGGAAATAAAAAGCCTGAGAAAAAAGAAAATTATAAATTAGCTTCCCATGCTATTATACAATCTTGTAATAGTTAGTGGGACAAAGTACAGTTCGTATGTGAAACATCAGAAATAGAAGTGTGTAGTTTGTTCTGGTCTAAAAAACAAAACAAAACAAAAAAAAAAGTTTAAATAACAGTAACACATTTGTAATTTCCTTGGATGTTTCCAGGAGAGAGGTACATAATTTGGTCCTAATTATACGTAATAATTATAGGGAAAATATGTTCAGTAAGTACATTTCCAGTCAATCAGTGATTAACATCTTGTAAAGAGCAAAAATGAGAATTCTGTTTGCAGATAAAAACACAATTTAGAAAAAAAGTTTCCGGTAATAAATTAATAATGGATGAATATTTGGTTTAATTCGAGCAGCTATTTCAAGGAAATTCCCACAGTATTTTCCCAGTTATCAGTACCAAAAGACATAGTTCTAACCAGGAAACCTCAAAGGAAATAGCATGGAAATGACACAAAACTGTAAAATACAGCGTTAAACAAGTAACACACAAGCCTAAAAAAGGGGGTAACATTGACTTAAGCCTTTACAATAAAAAGAAAAAAAAACTCACTTGTGATTCTAAAACTGGCAGATCTATTTAATGTAACTTATTTTTAAATAGTGACTTTTCAGCATTAGCTGCCCCAGGAATCTGTGGTCTCCACTAGAGCCATTATATCAATGGATATTAACTTATCACAGATGTATCAGTACCAGCATACATCACTGCCAATAAGTAACTACAAACTTCAGTCCTGAAATGCAAAGATATGTTTTAGATCATTTAGAAAGTGTCTCAATTACATAATCTGTCCCACTGTGTGAACTTGAAAGATTATTTTCCAACTGTAAAATATCCCACTCAGTACACATGTATCTTGATCAAAATTCTTTAATAACCAAATTTCAACAATTCTCATCAAAAATGTTTATTATTTGTGTCATTTAAAAAATAATATCGGCTGATATATTGTTATCAGATTTTGTTTCTCTTAAAATATCAATATTGGTATTAGCCTTGAAAACTCATTATTCATCAGGCTACAGTTTCCACCAATGTTGTGTCTTCTATTAATGCAGGCACATTGGCAAAACTGCTTTACAAAACACAATACAATAAGAACAGAAGCTATCATTTTAGAAGGGCTGTTTGGGTAACTGTGCTAACACTTTAAATTTTATCTTCAGATCACCACAGATTCAAAGGGCCTTTGTTTAGTCAGGGTCAGCTATTTAAAAGTTAGAAATAACCAGCACATGCTAATTTAATTCCCTTGGATAAGATTTTTGTTAAGAACCACCTCTGCAGGTATAAAAATTTATTCAATACAACACAATGTTCACCCTCCAACATCCGTGCTAATTAACTGGGAGGTGTATATGTACCAAATTAAACTGGCTTGCAACTTAGAAGAACCTAAAACCTTGTAGAGCCACTAGGACTTTGTTCCACACAGAGGCACAACAGAAGAAATTGCAAGGGAGTGTTTGAAAACCGGTGAGGGATTTGCCTTGTTGGGACCTAATGAAACCAACAGAGTGAAGGGTGATTGATTCTGGTGGCTGAGGTTCACTGAGAGGCAATTTAGCGTTTAGGGTGGGCAGAAATCAGCAAAGTAAGGGTGCTGCAAGGCCTCCTCTGCAGAGATCCTCTGGACAGGATTACATTTCAACAGGTTCTAGGTGAGATCAAAGGAAATGTTTTTTTTAATGAATGAGCAACGATATCAAATTTCTTGCAAGCAAAACTGCATATTGGCAGCAACTGGTATGACATTCTAGCTGCTACTTGAACATTCATTAGTACCTGAAAACATCAAAATTTTTTGAAAGTACCTGGAGTAGATCCCGTCCTGTGCTACTTAGTTTGGGGACCACGTTCACCAGTGAGGTGGTGGCTGGATACATGGGATATGGCTACAAGTAGAGAAAGAGGCAGTGAAAAAATGTTTTGTTTAAAGAATTCAGTAAAACATTATTTAAGCTGAGCTAATGAAATGAGTAACATCAATAATTTACCTTGTAATCAGGAAGTTTGGTCATCGTCTGCCACTGTTCTTCAGTTGGCGTACCCAACAATGTATTAAGTGGTTAAAGAAACACTTTTTCCAACAGAGAGGTGTGTCCAACCTGTTAAGACTTAAGTGTTCATAAATCACTGATCACATAGTAAATCAATAGTTCTTTAGTTGCCTGAGCAAACCTCTTAGGTCCAATATACCAAACAGTACAAGCAGGAGCCTCACTCTGTCAAAACCTACAAATCAAGTCAAAAAAAGATATCTGAAGATTCTTTTCAATTGGTCGTCCACATCGTTCCCGGGGAATAAAGGCCTTCCAGCATTGGCCAGCTCTGAATGGAACAAAATAAAATATGGTTTAAATTATGAAATGCTTTTGTTCATAAAATAACCAACTCATAACACACTTTTCTACATATTCACCGAACAAAAAAAAACCTTAACACATAGAAACACAAAACAAATGCATAAAATTGAATCATGACACGAAAAAAAAAAAAAAAAATTCCATAGTGGTCCTGGCCTGTCTCATTATACAAATTGCAAATTTTTTACTGAGAATAAATACATTCACTCATCTCTCTTCTTTAAATTTCACCTTTTCAACTGTTTTAAGAACTGTAACAGATTCCAAAGATTTCATAACATCTTTTCAGCTGTTCCAAATTTTAGCTCCCAAACATTGAAAGAATTGGCCGCAGAAGTATGAGACCTTTGGATGTTGAACACCTGCGAAAAGTCTGGTGGCTTGTCAATTTGGCATTTACACACATAACTCGAAAGACACTGAAACCTCTTTGCGATGTTTAACCACTGTCCTTTATGAATAATGAATTGGTATTATTAGTTTCAGCTGAATGCTAGCTCCATAGGCAAGAGAACAAAACTAGAAAGACCAGAACAGATTAACATTTCTCCACAAACCCAAACAAACCTGCAAATATGCATCCAGCCGACCACATGTCAATTGAGGTAGAATAAAGTTTAGCACCAAACAGCACATCTGGAGGCCGGTACCACAAGGTCACCACCTATATACAAATCACAAAGTGCAGTGTAATAATTAGACCAATTTCACAAATTATCTCAGCCAAATTACTGTTAATACAAGCGTTCAGGGTAATGACTGTTCTCTGAGGTGGGTACTATTTTATACTGACGCTGATTTCACAAAAAAAAAAAAAAGGATATGACAGCGCTGTCCCTAATACTAAATGGTGAACTTATATCTGCGTCTGCGTTCCATTACAAGTTCTTGACATTTTAGCAAACTGCTGTTTTGTCAGGTGTCAAGTATTTTACAATTTTATTTCCTAGGTTTTATGAAAATGTGTCTGGTGAAGTGCACTGACAGAGCAGAGAAAAAAAGAATAAAATAAAATATATAAAAAAAGGTATATTTCCCTAAGAGAGTGTGTGGGAAGTTGGGAGTGCTTATGTTTCAGATTGGAGGGTTCATTCCAGTCCACATGTTAATTATGTGACCACCTGCTGAACCACTACTAACTTTTCATAAGTCATTATTTTTAGAGAGAAAAATGAAGTTACATTGGTGGAATAGCATAGACGTACCGCAAGCTTCTAAGTAACTTGAAAACACCACATTGTTATATACACAAACACAGCAGACAAAAAAATCTGTAAGTGCTTTTTTTAAAAAAGAATCTAGCTCCTAAAAGTCTCCTCCAAACTGACTATGTTATATTGCCTTTGTGTAATACACATGCCAGAGTACGTGGAAGACAAAAATTGTCACCTGAGAAACAGTGATGAACTCCACTCTGAAGCACTTTGTTAGATTTTTAAGGATTTAGCACAGATATGATGAGCAGTAATGCCGATAAAGTAAACAAAATACTTACACTGTCATTATTAAAACTTCAATCACTGCATTTAATTGACGCTGCTTGTACTACATTCAGAATCCAGTATATCCATGTAGTATAGAGTCATTCATTTCCTGTCACTGAAACAGAGTCTCAGGGTAATAGATTCTCTGAAATAAAATGACCTTCCCTCAAATTCTCAATGCTTCAAACTCTGTTCCCCTCTAGGTTCTCTGTTTATTACATTTTCAGATCAGTAGTGTCACCCTGGGTCAACTGCTCCCCCATGAGATCGGCTCGCCGGGCCCTTAGGTCAGCCGACTGAAAACCACTGAACCTATCTGAAACTTGCCTGTCATTTCTCTGATAGCATCAACACCACCAAAAAAAAAAAAAAAAAAAATCAATCACCACTTAAACTACATGCTGCTATGTGTTTCACTCTATTCCATCATTAAGTTAATTGCTCAACCTCAGGACCTCAAGAGAATTAAATTGAGGCTTCAACTGTGCAGACAAATAAGACAAGTGCATTTTAATAGCCTAAAAAAAAACATTTGGGATTGTTAAAGAGAACCCACATTTTTATTAATGCTGTTGCAGTTTGCTATTTAGATGCTACAGCTGTGCCATATTTTCATATCACTATTTATACTAAGATTTTCTACTGAGAAAGATTTTTAAGTCATGTCGTTCAGCCCTAAGAAACAGCCTGAAAGTTTCATTTCATTGAAATACTGTTGGTTTTCAAAAACCAACAGTATTTCAATAAAACTTTTTAACACCAGATTTGGGACTGTTTATCTCAGCTACAAGCGCTTACAACAACTTCTTAAATGCCTCAATTAGAGAGCACAAATCTCTTCATATTCTTAGTTAGCACCAAATTAAAAATCCCTCTGTAACAGTCAAAATGTGCAGAAAACAGTCTCTGATTTGGTTCATCTTTAAAGCAGTCAGTAATTAGCACCTGCTGTGTTAATGATGTACAACCTACCTCTGCTGAGTAACACCTCACAGGAATGCCAAAGGCTCGAGCCAAACCAAAGTCAGCCAGCTTCAGCTCCCCATTCTGCGGACAGATACACAAGTTACTAAATCTTTCCAGATGATATCAACACACACTACTAAAATACAGCCTATGTAGTGTATTAAATCATACTCTGCAATACATTTCACAAAAAACATTCGCAGTGATCCAAGTTTCTCACTTGCTTGCTATGACACAGAGAAAGCCATCCAAACAGAAGTCACTTTGCTTTTCTTCACCATTATGGAAATAGTACTCTGACTGAGCCAAATGATTTGCTCACAAGCTAACAAATTTTAACTAACCTTCACGTCAAAGTCCAAATGCACCTAAACACTCACTCTGTTGATGAGGAGATTCTGTGGCTTCAGATCTCTATGAAGAACGTTTCGACTGTGACAGAAAGCAAGGCCTTTCAACAGCTGGTACATGAATGACTGCAGAGGAAAACCAAGGATAGAAACAAAACAATATTTGAGTTATTAATTCCAAGTTTCATAAAATGTAACTAACTACTATACAATACTGATGACAATCAGAGGTCACAGATGATACTAGACAGGCATACTGCCTTTGGTTCGCGCCTCTTCGTGAATTATCCTGGATGATCTCTCACCTTCACAGTTTCAGGGTCTAGATCCCCATTGCAGCTGTCAAAATACTTCTTCAAATCCTGCAATTGATTAGAGACACGCATTAGTCTCAGAAGAGACTACTGACACTGTAAGTTTCAGATGACTCCATCTCACCTGATCACAATATTCAAAAACCAAGGTTAACTTCTTGTCACTGTGCAAAACATCATGTAGCCTGAAGGAGACAGAACAGCTTTAAGTTCATGTTCATTGACATCTGGGTTAAAAGCAAACAGTGAAACATTGCCCATATGAAGGCACATAACATAAAAACAAGATAAATACAATTTGAGTGGAACACGGACCTGACAATGTTTTTATGCTTTAGTTCCTTCAGAAGACAGATTTCTCTCAGAGCAGAGCTGGGCACCCCCTGAAACAATTCAGAACCACTCTGTTTAGCACTAGCCTACTAACAATCTGCTAGCATGGATATATACTCAAATTGAGATTATCTTAGTATGAAAACACACCTCGTCGTCGTCGTCCAGTCTCACCCTTTTCAAAGCCACAATTTCGTGCGTTTCTCTGTTTTTAGCCTTGAAAACTGTCCCGTACGTGCCTACAGAGTAGAAAAAGTTGAGTTAAATCACAGTCAACGTATTGATGAATGGCAAAGCAAGAAGTCCTAACATTAGCTAGCTAAACTACCTAGCTAGCGATAATATCGTAAAAGCTTGCAGGCAGAAATCTTCAGGTAGATATTGTCACAAACATACCGGTGTAAGTAAAAACTACCGCAGTGTATATGGTTAACTAGGGAATTAATTGACGCAGGCATAAAGCTTTCAATCTAGCTAACGTTAGCTAGCCCTGCAACTACATGGATGCTATGTTAGCAAACCTGGCTAGCTAAAGTTAACTTTACAAAATAGCGTATGACACTCACCCTCTCCGATTTTTTCAAGCTTTTCATATTTCTGCATGTTTAACCAGTGAAGCCAGCCTTGATCCAGCTACCAAACCAACGACTGTCTATAGCCCCAGGCTGGGGTTAATGCTGTTGCGATAGCTAGCGTTAGCTTAAAGCTATCTGCACTTGCTATTCCTGCTCGGTCTGCAGCTGCAGCCAGACTTGTTGTTGTTGGTCATCTAGAGGCCAAAAGATGAACTGCAACACCGTTGAAACCCCAAAACGATGACTGCTTAACATTGCTGGATGCACATCATACATCATATCAAGAGAGGCAATTTGCTGTTCTGTGGAGACATGTTATGAGCGACTGTGGTCACAAAAGGATAGCAAAATGATTGTTTACAGAAGATAAACTAGGCCCAGTTCTCAGACTCTGCGGGTTGACCCACAGACTGCAGTCAAAGATAACAGCTGTAAGGGATGTGGATACTTACTGAAATAGTACCCTCTTAAATGTGTTTGTGTTGTTTCCATTACTCAAATTGATCATTTGTAATCTAATCTCAAACTGCAAATGGATTCTACTGCTGTCAGGCAATGTCTTGATATTTTAAGTATATTTGCCTGATCAGCGATGAATACACTTTTATAGGGATGTAAGTCTTAACTATTTACTTACTCCATTTGTCAAATGAGCTCATAATACTATGGAGGAAAAGTGATGGCTAATATTCACCTTTGTGCAATACTTAAGTCAGGCACACATACTGTACAGATATCCAAAGGATGAATAAAATAATAATACCGCATAAAAAAGGAGCATTAAAGTCATACTAAATCCTGTGGGCAAGCATTCAGCCTTTGGAGGGTAGAATAATGGCTGTAAAAAGTTTGTAGTTTCCAGTAACTCTGCCACAATGGATTTGAGTTACTCAAGAGATGTAACATATAGATGGTAAGATCATATATACACTCAGGTTTCTGCCATCTGTAAAGACAGTTTAATAGTTATCATCTGTATAAGGAACTTAATATTGGTGCCAAAACAGTAGTTCCTCAACAGGTAACAGATCTAAACAGAATGGATGATGGTGGGGAGCAACTGAAGCTGACACTGTTTACAAAGCATATACTTCTCATTATATTGGTTCAGTGATTTGTCTTTTCAACCCTACACTTGTGAAAAAAAACATGCAAACTGTGCATTGTGATCCCCAAAAAGGAAAACATACATACACTCTCATCAAAACAAATTTTAATTCTTTATTCTATCACATTATAATTTTTCATTCTATACAGTATAAGAGAAAACAGAAATGAAATTCTCATTTGAGGTAAAGACTGTACAATCGTGTAGTTTGTTAAACATCACAGGGTGATCCAGTTGGTCCACTTATACAGTACATTTACATACAGAACTTTGAGAGTTTGTCATAAAAGTAGACATGGAGCTGGTAAATTTGCAATACATTATCTATCATTCATCATGTACATGCAAGCCTCCCCTATTAATTTAAAAATAAACCCTATTATTTATTATAGATTTAGAGTAAACGCATTTTGCAGTGTTCATTTCTGTCCCTCAGTTCTTTGCCTGCGGATCAGATCAGAATAAAGTCCTCCTTTGCTCAGCAGTTCCAAATGAGTCCCAGCCTTAAAAGAAAAGAGAGGAAGCTATTAGATATAATTAAAACCTACATTACACAGTACATTAAGAAGCATCCAATATATCCACATGAACTGCTGACAATTGAATGAAGGCAATTCTCCTCAGTGCTTCTTTGAATGTACAAAGATGTCTAATAAATTAGCCAAGACATTTAAAAGGAGGTACCAACACCTCTATTTCTCTGAGTACTCTGGTACCTCACCTCCACAATACGGCCATTACTCATGACACAGATGAGGTCAGCCCCTTGAATGGTGCTCAGCCGGTGGGCAATGATGAGCACAGTGCGACCCCTTGTGGCCCTGTCCAGAGCCTCCTGCACCACTCGTTCTGATTCTGCGTCCAGGGCGCTGGTGGCTTCATCCAGCACCAGGATGCTGGGGTTCTTGATCAGGGCACGGGCGATGGCAATGCGCTGTTTCTGCCCACCTGATAATGTCACACCTCGCTCACCTGGTTTTAAAAATGTAGAGCTTAGTATTGACACGTCCCAAAATTTCTTAACAGTACGAAAAGCTTAAATGAGAGCACTTACCAACCACAGTGTTATAGCCGTCTGGGAAACCTGTAATGAAGCGGTGAGCATTGGCTTGCTTGGCTGCATTAATGACCTCAGCATCTGTGGCCTCAGGCTTCCCAAAGCGGATGTTCTCCATGACAGATGATCCGAATAAAACCGGCTCCTGCACAGAGTATTGAGAGATACGGTGAGAAGTGGACAGCTAAAAATATGACAAATTAATTTTTCTATAAAACTGACTTATTATTCACATCCCTGTTTTAAAAATTGGCACGCACTAATGATAAGCAAACTTTACCTGATTAATAAATCCAATAACTTGTCCCCTGAGCCAGGATGGGTCAAGTGTACGGATGTCAAGTCCGTCCAGCATGATTACACCACTGGTCGGGTCATAGAAACGCTCTAGCAAGGACGCCACTGTGGACTTTCCTAAAATTATTTGGATTAATCATTTGTAGGCTCATTATCATATATGTTTACATGTCACACAATTACAATTAGAATTAAAATCTAAGAAATTACCTCCTCCAGATTCTCCAACAATGGCAACAGTTTTAGACGGAGGCAGCGTCAAGCTGAACTTGTTTAAAATCTGATGGCCAGGTCTTGTCGGATAACTAAAAATTCACAAAAAGAAATGAATAGATGGTATCAGTGGATGTTTATGTTCAGTTCCTGCAATCTACTTTTGTTTTGAATTAAGATAAGATTCCAACCTGAATGAAATGTTCATAAAGTCCACTCTTCCTGTCAGAGAATGGTACGGGATGCGTCCTCCCCCAGAGAGTGGGATGGTTGGCTCCAAAGCAAGGTATTCAAATACCCGGGCCCCAGAGCTTATTCCTCTCACCACCTGTAGAAAAATGTTAGAGTTGGTCAATGTTGGTCACTAGATATTTCAGATTTCGACAAATGCACACATGATATAATTCTACATTTTAAATGTGTGTCACTTAGATAACACAAGCTCTAGATATGTGTAGAATTTTTACTCACCTGTCCAAAAAGGATAGAGATACTGGCCAAGGACCTGAGCATAAAGACAATACACAAGTTATAAACTAACATCAGCCATGTTTGAACTAATACATTTAATAGTAAATAGTAATATAGAGCAATCATTGTGGAGCAAGTTGTGTCTTTTACCTCTGAACAGTCTGGGAAGCAACCAGGAAAGACATGAGGTCTCCAGGGGACAATTCGTTGCTAGAAATTAAAGTCCCTCCAGCAAAAATAGTTCCCAGAACAATGCCTGTATCAATGGTACACATTCCAAAAATATTACCATTACAGAAGCTCTGAGATACAATACCAATCTGCTTAATATTGTGTTAATCTGTTGACATTAGTAACACACACTCACAATTCAGGGCAATGTTTGACAGTCCTTGGAAAACGGCTATTCCAGCACCAAGATTTTCATTCATTTCACACGATTTGTCAACTTCATGTGAATATAACCTGGGGGAAAAGATTATGTAAATTAAAACATATTACCCCACAAATCTGAGACACAGTATACTGTGGCTCTAAAAGTACTATGGCTGTGACTATATCAGAATATACGCTCACTTACTGGAGCTCCCGCTCCTCCATGGCAAAAGCTTTCACTGTTCGCACATTGCCAAGCGCCTCATCTGCCACTCCTGTTGCTTTTGCCACCTTAAATTTAACACAATGTAAAGACACAGTCAGACATAAAGGCTTCACAATATGCAGATGGATATGTTTAAGATACATGTGTATGTTGTAAATACAGATAGTGAAATAGAATAGATAAAGGTTTTTTTGTTTAATAGCATAGTAGTGATTACTTATTTTGAGTGTCAGCGACATATCTCGCAGTGCAGGTGTTGCCACAGACATATCTTTCTGTTTGCATGTCAGCTCACAGAATGATGAAAATCAGAGAAGGAGTCAAGAGGATGTGAAGAAACTTTTCATCTGAACATTTGTGGGCAGTAGCGAGAACAGATCTATACTGTGTTAAGAGAGGAGAAGGTACAGTGCATCTGCCACATTCATGACAAGGTCTGTTCTGCTTGCCCATATCTACGACTTTTTTTTTTTTTTTTTTTTTTTTTTTTTTTTTTTTTTTTAAATTGTGGCTATTCTGACATTGCAACACCTCGTCACAACGTGGTAATGAAAGTCAATCTGTGTACAAGACACTGCAGTCCTAATGTAATACTATATTTGACCTTACCTGTTCTTGAGCCAGACGAGATAGTTTACGGAGGAATGAGCCGATGAGAGCACCAGCTCCCACTAGACAGGGAAGGACAACTACTGTCAAACCTGTGAGTTTAGGGGAGATGATGTAGAGAGAGACAAAACATCCAATTGTCTGTGTAAGACTACGCAGGCCCTGCAAATATGCAAAAAGAGCAAAAAATTGGAATTTGAAGGTTAAAACTTGCACATAGTTTACATATTACTGATTATTTTAGAACACAAATTTACACTTTATACCTGAGAGATAACCAACTTAAAGGATGACTTAAACTCCTGAATGTCTGTAGTCAAACGATTCACCAGCTGCCCAGTTTTATTGGCATCAAAGAACGCCACATCTTGCCTGAGACAAAAAAAAATAACAATGGCAGTGTTAACAATGGTTATCCTTTCTGTACTGCAGATATGGTCCATCTATAAAGTCAACAGTAGATAACCCGTGCAACCGTGACCGCATGTGTCTAATCACTGCTTTTGTGATGTGTACCTCAGTAAGGATGCAAAAAGGGTCTTTCTCATGTCTGCTGCCACTCTCTCTCCCACCTTTGAAAGCAGGATAATGTAGCCAGATGTCAGCAGGCCCTGAACAAAAGAAGTGATTAATGACCAATGGAACAGGCCATTTTCCAGAAAACAGCTGTGACATTTATAATTTTTTGTGCTTTTTTTTTTTTTTAATTTTTTTTTTTATATGAAAGCAAACTGAACAGAGCATGCAGATGTGTAAAGCAAACAAGCACCTTAACTAACTAGAGGAAAAAATTGAACTTTCTGAAACAATCAGATCTGTGAGCCGCATGTGAATGGACAGATTTATTGAAACAAAAGGAACACTTTATAATATACTGTAATACAACAACACACAAACTACACTATAGTATAACAAGCTTCATAGAGGGGGTACTTATTCAGAGCTGTTGTATTGGCACGCATTATATTGTCCTGGTGTTGCTTTTATTGCATCCACCCCCTACATTTCTTCTCAGTTAATTTACAGAGAAATAAATGTCCAGTTTATTTCATCCCCTACAATATATTGCAATTACATATTGTAAACGCTACATTTACCTCAGGTCTCCTTGTTGAAGTACAACACCTCACCAGGAAATCATAGTTATATATAGAGGTATATCTCCACTTGACAGCAAAAAAAAAAAAAACTATGGTAGAAATGTATAATAATACTACACATGCTCACACATGCTCAGAGCTACTTCATTTCTTATTGATAAAGACCCTGCTTAGCTCATCATAGACTGATTCTACTCAACTCTTGTTGAAGTACTGCCTCACTAAGTTGTGCAACTGCTTTGAAAAATGACACCTTTCTTGTGTACTTACTTGGATACCATACAGTCCGAGCAGTTTCATGGCAGGACCTCTTATCTCATGGGCATAATTCCCAGTGTGTTCTCTCAGATAACGTGCCACAATATTCACCAGATCCCCAAGTATCAGGGGGATTTGAATATTCAAGATAGCTGCACCAAAAGCAAGCTGAAAAAAAAAATTATTATGTTTATTTGATTAGCATAAATTACATGTCACTACCTTAAGCATGTGTCACATCATATTTTATAACGCTGGCATTACATTCTAGTGAACTGATTCAGACTTACCACAACAGCCCCGATGAGAGCAAAGAACTGAGGTTTGACAAATTCCCACAGGATGTGCCATTTGAACTCAGGCACAGGGCTTTTAGCTACAACTTCCACTGGGGTGTTATTATTCACATCTGCCTCGCAGTAAGCTACATGGCAAAACAGTCGTGCAGACACAGTGAGTACTGCTGGTCCCAGGATGAACTTAAGAGCCACTCCTGGGGGTTTGGATGTTTGGGTGGCAGACTGGCGGACAGCTCTCTGAGTAAGGCTCCAAATACGACTGACAGCATTTCCAGGCTGTTGTGAGGAGCTGTATCCATTAGATCCTGGAGATATATACCACCTGGATATGATGAAGAATATTAACACAATTAGACATTCAATCTAAATCATTAAAGTTTTGCAAAGCCAATTTAACAAAAGCAATATCTCTAAGAACTCTACATGCATTATAGTCTGTCAGTTTTTTGGCTTAAAATGTTTAGTCTGATCTGAGTCTGAGCAATTATCATTATCAGTTAACCTGCCAATTATCTTCTGAATTAATTTATATTAATTGTTATCTAATGTTGGAGTTGCTCTAGGAAGTGTGGCCCAATCGAAAACCACATTTTTGAGGCTGATATGAATGTCTAAATTTTAGAGTTGACAAAATCTGATAATTATATTTCAGCCTAAAGAATTTTCTTTTTAAATAAGCACATAACATAAACTAGAGGGGCACTCATAGAGTGCAGACCTCTGCCAAGGCCAATGTCAAACAACATACACCAGACTTCAGAGAAAGAAAACAGTAAATGATCCATATCTGCACCATAATTTAATGGGATCTTCCCTTGTCCATGCCTCCACCAAGTTTGATGAAAATCAGTGCATTTTGCATACTCCTGCTGACAAATAAACCCACACAGATGAAAACATAACCTCCTTGGCAGAGGAGACAAACCATCTTGACACACATCAAAATGCATTCTGTGCTGGACGTTTTTAGAATTGAAAACTTAGCTAGTTAGTACACTCTTTACCCACTTACATATAGGCTGATCCAGATATATCTATAATAAGCCCATACATCGACCTGGCCGATTTATTGATCACCAGGCGGAACGATAGCAGCCACCAATAAGTCTTTCACTATACATGTGAATACTGTGAGTATAAACCTCAATCTGCTTCCAAAACCTAAAGCTATTAAATTTACAGTAATGTAACTGTAGAAAGCAGCACATGAAAGCTGGAGCATCCAAGTGTTGAAACTGCTGATTTCTGTAACAGGACTTTAGCGTGAAAATGGTTACTAATTACGTTTCGATGGACTCGTCGATTGATTTTCTTACTGTTTTAGCTCTAGTGGAACTCAAACACACAAGTACATGCCATTGCACCTACCTATTTATATCTGAATACAAAACAACTATGTCGAGATGTACTGTATAGAAACTAAAAGTAGGCCAGGCTTGTCAGTATTGATTAATTAACTTATATATCGGATACAGATCAGCTGTCATTAGCTAAAATAGCAACAGGTTAGATTACCCTACCGTGACAGTTTCCATATGTCTGCTGTTTTATTACATCGCGTGTACAACGACAATGACCGTACTGGAGCAGCGACGCTTGCTTTACCACAGAGTATCTGAAACATGATGTATGCTTATTTCAGTGACCCCAAGCTCATTAGGTCAATATAATCGTTAAGCGTTACAGTAATCCAGAGGCAACCCGTAGGCTGCCATGTTGGTACTGGCCCAGAATGCATTTCTGTACCTATACAGGACCTAATATTTACTGTGGGTATTTGTTTGAGACAACAGAGTGCAACTTTTTTTCACAACAGGCATTATGCTGAAGAATTTTAAGCGATTTATACACCACTGTTAAACAGAGACGCGACAAAATCGGACTTTCTTCGGGAAAACTCAAGAAAACTACAACCCTTTACCGGAAATGACGACAGGTATGCCGCATTTAGTCAGATAGTGTAAATCGTAATTATGAGGATCCTAGTGGGAAAACTGTCCACGACAATCTCCAAATTGTGAATCTGAGTCGGATATATTGAGAATGTCTTGCACTTACTATATCTCACACTTAGTAAAAGGACCTTTGAACACTTTAAGAAACTTCTCAAAACGGCAGAAGACAGAATCAAATTCACCGTTAACTCAATCGATTCAGCTGACTGCATAGACCAACACAAATACGTACCACAACAAAAGTAGCACATTTTGGCTATTTATCTGATGTGATTACAAGGTTAACATTGCCACCTTGTGTCAACACATCCAATATATCCATGTTCCAACTGGTGTTTTTCTTGTTCTTCCTAATCTACTGACACCTCGTGAATGCAGCATTAAACCCAAAGTGACGTCAATGACGTTTTGTTGACATTTGTTTGTGAAAGACAAAAACAGTGGACACACACAGGATAGTGTATTTTTGGAAACCGACTAACGGACCTCGCGGCAGGCTGAAGACCACCGTATCATGATTAAACATAGCCGTGTGTATTAAACGAGCTCTGGCCAAGATTGGACTCAAAGCAAAGACGAAAGAAGATCAAGAGCAGCAGATGGACGGACCAAGTCGGGAACAAAACAAACCGTTGTCACCCTGACTACACGAGTGGCTGAATCATTCACAGGCTAGCCAACCATCACACTGTTGGCTTAGGTAGTTAGCTTACATGTAGGTATTTTAAATTCATTAGTTATCTAACGAATACTTGTCTACTAAATTTTAAACTGCTTTCTTGTATTTAACATGTTATCGTGGTAGTGTAAGGTTACACAAGCGCCGTCCGTCAGACTAGCAAGTTAGCAAGCTAATGTTAGCTGTAGCTAACGTTACCCTTTCTTGAACTGCTTGAGCTGCCTAGTAGCTAGTTACAGTTATGTAGCTTAGGTTGCGAGACTGCATTCGTTTCGGACAGTGTTTACTACAAGTAGCTCGTCAGTTGGGAGTGACCCTAAGAATGTGAAGCACAATGGCCAATCTTGAAGCTTACCAGGAGTATCAGAGAATTGAGGACTTTGAGGAGGACTCGCCACCCGGGGAGGAGGATTTACTGGTGCATGTGCCTGAAGGCCTGAAAGGTAATCATGTCACTAAGACAAAAGTACAAATGGTCTTTATCTATTATTGGCTGACTGCATTGTGAGAGTTTCATACCTGATAAATACGTTGGTTGTCTGAAAAAGATGTTGCAACTGGGTCATGTTTGATCAGAGTTTAATGCTTTAATTTCTGTTACAGATTCATGGCACCACATCAAGAACCTGGATAATTTCTTCACAAGGATATCCTTTAAATTACAGTGTAGTTTAATAGCTGGTCTAGCAAAGTGTATTGTCATTGCATATGTCACTGGCATCATGTCATGCTGACTCACAAACGTATTAAGATGCTTGTGAGTAGTCATATTTAGAAACTGCTGAATTTCACAATGTTTACTTCTTGACTGCCATATACTTGGACTATAGGGATCAATGTGAAAGTGAATTTTCTACAGAAACTTGAGTTTGATTTGTGATATCTTGTGTTTTTCCCATGATTACCCTTTCTTGACCAATGTGACTGTATAAGACTGTCATGTTTAATGTTTTCAGTGTATTTCAGATTTTCCTTAACCAGCTGTCTACATCTATCATTTTCATCAAAAGAATGGCTTTGCTTGTATGATGTTGTCAGAGTTCTTTGAACTTGTGTAAGTATTAGAAACTACAGAGTTAATTATGTTGAGATTGATTGAGCTCAAACATTAGATGAGTTGAGTTTTCAGTTCCAACAGGATGCTTTCATTTCAGTAAGATATAGGCCTTATGTATATCACTGGTACTTTTTCATGTTGTTGTGACAGTCAAGTGTGCCTCAGGCATCAGCATGAACAAGCTCAACTGCATGATTTCAACAGCACCTGTACATAAACCCATGTGAAAAATTTTTTTCCTTTAGTATCTTAGCATTTCTCATGTTATACTCTATTCTGCTAGCCTTAATCAGTTCATTTTGGGCCAGTACGTCAGTGCATAATATTGTTTATTTTATTGGCCTGCTGCTTGATACCATGCCAGTAGGCCATCACTGTTATTCTCCCGGTCCTGGTCTGATGTATGTCTGAATCTGCCCACAGTGGGCTAATTAATATACGGCCCATTAAACCATTAGCTGTTGAAAATCTGTCCTCATACCGACAGCTAAAAACAAACCTCAGCCTGTCAACATATTTAATAAGGGAACTGCAATTGATCTGTCTTAAACGCACTATTATGAATTAATTGCTTGTCAATATATGCAGAGTGTACTGTCTGTTTCTTGATAGTTCAAAATTAAATATTGTCACTTATCTCAATTTACTATATACCAGTTTTAATCAATAGTCATTGTTATTTTTTTGGGTTATCTAGTGTTTTTACTGTCATGAAGTATGAAGCCTAATCTCTGGTTCTCTTGTCTCGTCACAGTCAGCTTTTGTTTGTTGTCACATTCACAACGTTCCTTGTCAACTGCGTGGAGTATGATGTCCTTTTTGCCAATCGAGCAGTCAACCACACCGGGCCAGGCCAGAACCCCTTGGACAGGAACAAAGTCACTCTCCCAGATGCCATCCTGCCTAGCCAGCAGTGCACTCAGAGGTAATGATGTCTTATGTTGAGCTTTAGTGTGTGAGAGGGTTTTTTTTTCCTGTTGCGGAAAATGAGTGGAAAAGCCAAGGTGAATTAATTGAAAAAGCTATACAGTCACATAAAATTATGTCTGATGTGCTTGTCCTCACATTTCAGCCAGTTTGATTAGATACTTTGTTCTGAAGCACACAAAGTCTTGGATATTATAAGAACCCTTTTGGAAGCAGGCCTTTAGAGGGATTTAAGTTGTCTGGCTTAATACAGTTGTAATTAGACTTTCAGACTTAATTTCTTATTGGATTGTGTGAGATGTGGCTTCAGACAGCAAGACACAGTCACATTCACAGAGTTGGAACAGTAGCCTGTTTAGTTGTACCCTGTGGGTTTCTTGGTTTACCCTAGAAAATGATGAGCACTCTCTTGTATTTGTAATGCTAAACAATGACTCTTTTAACTCTTATTAACTGTCAGCACTGTTAGCTGTGATTTAAAAAGACATGCTCTTATAATCAACTTGTATGAGATGAACACTCAACCATCTATGTGCTGACCTGAGTATCCATTTTATTCTTTAGACATAAAAGAAGCAGCCTTTAACACATAAAACATTTGACAATGTGACCAACGTGTTGTATTTTTAATTGTGCAGTATTTCTTTTTAAACATCTGTCAAATTAAACTTATTCATCTTGGAAATAGTTTTAATACCAGTGGTAATAACAGAATACCAGGACAGCTAGCATTAAAGTTTGCCACTGATTTAAAACAGTTCAAAATGAAACAAGGTTTGAATTTCTGTTTTTTTCTGTTTTTATTGGATTGAAATGTTGTTTTTAAGTCTATTTCATTTCAAGAACAGGTGATGTCAGTTTCTATGAAATTTCTTTCTTTCTCAGTTTTGTTGTTTATTTCAACCTGAGATTGGTAGCTTCGAATTGCAACATGTGTTCACACTGGCTTTAGGGAACAGGGCAGTGTAATTGATAGCTTCACTCCAGCCGAGCTACTGACAACTTGGCTGTGCCAGCAAGCTGCCAACCACATGACCTCCCCCTCCAGCCCTGTGTTGTCATATTTTTTTCCCTAAGAAGTACCCTTGCCTCTGCTTGTTTTCTCGAACTAGCTCATAGGCCTCTCATCATCAATTTCTTCCTCATTCTGACTGTGTCTCAGAAGTCAAATATCAAAGTCAATGACGTACAACAGCTTGGAATTCTAATTTGGGAACAGCTTGTCCAACAGTTTGGAGTCTCTCTGTCCTCATACCCCATCTCTAGTTTCCCTTTTAAAACCAGATACTTGATACTTGAGAACATTTTAATGTTTTTTTAATATGTCTGAAAATGAATCCTATATGAAATGATATAGAAATTACTTAATAGAGCATCAATCAGGTGAGGGCTGATGTGTGTTTGTAAGAACAAATTACTGATGCTCAGCATGTTCTGTGTTTTGATATGGGATACTTGGAACCTTCCTTAATTATAGAGTGAAGTAAGCAGGCCACCTCACCCAAAACCTGTAAACAGGAGCTCAGTGCCAGTTTAATAGATTACAACATACACTGAGAGCAACAGTTTTCTCATCTGTTTATCATATTTTAAATTGCATACTAAATAAAGTTCAGTCATAACAGGAGTGGGCATGTCATATTTTTGCTGTTGCATATCTACTTCAAACATTTTTCAGTAATTCTGATACCCAGATTTCAAATAGGCCTCATGAAAAAACAAGTGGTCAAGACTTGTTTTTTTCTAATAAACTTTGTAAGCTTTTTTTGCGATGCTTCTACTCTCTCTGTTTTCCATTCAGGATTCAAGAGAACAGCTGGATTATATTTCTTCTCATCATGGCAGCCATCTTCTGGATCTATCGACTTGTTAAAGTCTTTTGCAATGTTCTGAGCTACTGGGAGATCAGGCAGTTCTACATCAAAGCACTGAAGATCAGAATGGTAAGTGCTACACCTGGAGACCTGTACCAAAAGTGCTGCAGAAAATGGTTATCCAAATCCATCTCGTTGCAGGTTTCTTGCACTTATTGTAAGAAGAGATATGATGATGCCACTGATTTGAGTTGTGGTGTCATGCATTGACAGTTTACTTTTTTGCTCTGTGTCTCTTTATACCAGGATGAACTATGCAACTTCACATGGCAGGAAGTTCAGGACCGGCTCATCAGCCTGCAGCGAGAACAGCAAATGTGCATACACAAGAAAGAGCTGACAGAACTTGACATCTATCACCGTATCCTGCGATTCAAGAACTACATGGTGGCCATGATAAACAAATCACTGCTGCCAGTGCAGCTGCAGCTCCCCCTGCTGGGCAATGTGGTGTTCCTCACCCAGGGCCTCAAGTACAACTTTGAGCTCATCCTCTTCTGGGGTCCTGGCTCTCTGTTTCAGAATAAGTGGAACCTGCACCCCAAGTACAAGCGGAATGGGAACCGCCTAGAGCTTGCCCAGCAGCTTAGCAGAGTCATCCTGCTAATGGGTTTGGCCAATTTGCTGCTGTGCCCCTTCATCCTGGTGTGGCAGGTGCTGTACGCTTTCTTCAGCTATACAGAAGTGATCCGCAGAGAACCTGGAAGCCTGGGTGCACGGCGCTGGTCCCTGTATGGTCGTCTATACCTGCGTCACTTCAATGAGCTGGACCATGAGCTGCATGGACGTCTAGGTCGTGGCTACAAGCCCACTTCCAAATACATGAATTCCTTTACATCACCACTGCTGACTGTGCTTGCAAAGAACTTTGCCTTCTTCTCAGGCTCAGTATTGGCTGTTCTCATTGCACTGACAGTCTATGATGAAGACGTTCTGACAGTGCAGCACATTCTGACTGCTATCACTGTGCTGGGGGTGGTTATTACTATTGCCAGGTGAGTTTTCAGAGCCATTTTTTTTCCTGAGACCATTTCTGAATCACTCCCTGTAGGTGTAAAACTTAAGGAGGTTGTCAGTACTACGTTTCCTTTGCTATTTATACTAAGATATACAAACATTTACATCTGTATATTGTGATGTAATTTCATTTGCAGCTTTTTCTCCTGTTTATTGAAATTGAGTGATTCATTTATTTCATTTATATTTTATGGGTTGCAGAACCTTTCCTACTTGTGGGGGCAATTATCTGATGAGGAAACTACTTTTATTTACAACTGTAGTCATCTTGCATATCACTTATTTATTAACATGTTTCCCAATCAGTCACAGATTTTCAATCAAAATGAAACGTAATAAACCCTTAAGTTTTCTTAATTCACTTATCTCACATGTACAGATACTGTACAGTGGTACTGTTGAAAAATGTTCACATTTTGTACATGTCCAATGCCAGGTCCTTCATCCCAGATGAGCATATGGTGTGGTGTCCAGAACAGCTGCTGCAGTGCATGCTGGCACACATTCACTACATGCCAGACCACTGGAGGGGCAGTGCTAACAAGAGTGAGACCCGTGACGAGGTGGCACAGCTGTTCCAGTACAAAGCGGTGAGGATGGGAGAAACACATTTATCACACTCAAACTGAAATTATGGATGTATTTTGGTTGTGATTGATGAAGTTGTTCAAGTAGCATCTGGTCATTATTAAGTCTTAGTCAGGCAGGGTACAGTCAGATTGTAAGATCACTTGATTTATTGACACATTCTTGGGAACATTGATCAACTTGTGACTTTATCTGGAATATGAATATTTGAACAATTAGAGAACTTATGATGTTGTCTGTGTCCAAATCAGGTGTTTATCTTGGAGGAGTTGCTCAGTCCCATCGTCACACCCTTCATTCTCATCTTTCTTTTGAGGAACAAGTCTCTAGAGATCATTGACTTCTTCAGAAACTTTACTGTGGAGGTAGTTGGAGTTGGAGACATCTGTTCCTTTGCACAGATGGATATCAGACGCCATGGAAACCCAACAGTAAGGCTTTTTCCTGCTGTCATACAGCCAGCCTATTCAATACATTTGTGGAATTGAAGAAAGGCTAATCCATAATAAGCTTATGTCTCAGTGAATACTGTGATAATGTTGTTTCTTGACTTTATGTATCTTTGGATGTCTCTGCAGTGGATGTCGGAGGGCCAAACAGAGGCCTCTATATACCAACAGGCTGAGAATGGCAAGACAGAATTGTCCCTGATGCATTTCACCATTAAGAATCCACGCTGGCAGCCGCCACAGGAGAGCTCAGTGTTTATCAGCCATCTAAAGGAGAAGGTGCATCATGATGCGCAGGGTGGCCCCTCCACCCAGCTGCTGCTTTCTGAGGCTCCTCTCTGCACCTCACTGCAATCCAATGAGTCTGCCACTGGGGTAAGAAACCCTGACCATGGAGATAACACATGTACCACACATGAGCTGAATATATAAGTCATGTTAAGTGAATTGTATTGTCTGTAAATATTGGAAGCTGTATGGAGACTGTCATCTTATGTGATAAACAGTAATACATTAACAACAGCATACATGTTAATGAAAAATGTTCATTATTCATATTTAAATACTTCTAGAATATTTTTTTCTACATAAGCCATTTAACCATAAACAACTTGATATTTTACCCCCCAAAAAATTACCCTGTAATTCTCCTGTAATTTTTTTTCTATGATTTTATTTACTTGCACTGTATTGTATGGTGTTGCTTCCAGCCTGATAATCTGTTGGCCAGTGTCCTGGCCCACCCCATTCTAACTGCATCCGGACTACAAGGACGAGACCATCACTTCATCCCACCAAGCACCGCTGCATCTGCTGCTGCCAGTGTCCTGGCCTCTTTGTCCACCTCCCAGCTTGCACATACCAGCCGCGGCCGCTCACAGGGTCTCCTGCCCTCCTCCGTCCACCCCGAGAGCACCATGTACCGCAGTGATCGCACCATCATTGACAGGTTTTTAATCAGCCACTGTATTTACTTCTGCATTATTTACATAATGAAGCTACATTAGCGTATGTTGAAACCACTAAATAAATGCAAAGACTTGAGCATCATCAGCTTTGATTAACACGTTTCTTTTTCAGTATGTCCAACAGTGACTCACGCATCCGGAGCAATCCGCTGCACTCAGAATTCGCCTCCGCAGAGATGAGCCTCCATGCCATCTACATGCATGAGGTGATTTACTTTACCATAAACTATAGCTTTTGGACATTATTATTATTATACCTAGCCTCCTTTTCCTGTTGTGTGCCTGGAGTTTTAAAGTTATACTCCACAAAAAGTCAAATAATAATAAATAATAAATAATTTTTCAGTGGAAAAAAATGTATCAAAACATCTACTTTTAAGTCTGCATGGATGAATGTTTGATGCGCAAAAGATCAAGTTTGGGTGAAACACCGCTTTGAGTATTCCTTGTGCACCACTAGTCAAAGGCGCCGTTATCTTGTACACTGACAATTGCTTGTTTCTTCAGCTCCACCAGCAGAGCTCCCACCCACAGAGAAGTTCAGGGCAGTGGCAGAGCACAGTGCCAATGAGAGATCTGCACACAAACACTGGTAAATGAAAATATTGATTCTTAACTTTGGCATATCAAAAAGTTCTGTTTAGGGGAATTGAACATTTAAAACTACAGTAAGAAATATTTTTGATATTTGGTTTGAGTAAGTTACTTACAAGGACAATGACTTTAGAATAGATTGGAACAGAGTTTAGGTTTAATTCCCAAATCTTTGGAAGTAGTAACATTTGTTTAAGCGTATTGAAACTGTTAATCTATATAAAAAAAAAAACATCTAAAAATACTGAACATTAAATCTGTAGTGTTAACTAAACGAAAATGGAAAATTTTGAAATTTAAACCAGACTATCCTAAAACTCTTATCAGGCTTCCAGGCACATAGTGGTCTTGGTTCCAGCATGTCCATGCCCACCGTTGTCCACCTTGGCGGCTGGCAGGAGGAGGAAGAGGAAGATGAGGATGAAGATGATCAGGAGATTAACAGTGGATCTACTCCAAAGCAGGGCACCAGGAGTAGTTGTTGAAGTGCCTTATGTCATAAGGTATATACTTAATTTTTAAACTCTAAGATGATACTTGTCCACGATCTATGCTTTGTGATTTTGTATTCTGTGACATACTAGTTTGTTGCACCTAACAACAATGGCCTTTTATCCGACAAAGGATAATTTGCCATGATAATTTCTCTTCTCTTTTTTTTTATTTTTTTTATAGTGTTTACATTTTACTTTCTTCGATGAACATTGTGGCCTTAGATGATCTTCATGGAGAATTTAGCATGGACCTTTAAAACAACATTCATTCATTAGTGGGAGGGGCTCACTGAATAACCACTGTCCCTGCACCTCCACGCCTCATCCTGTCACATCAGGCAGACTATGGCATCAGGGAAACCATATGTCTTCCGTCCGTTTCATCAAGATCTTGTAATAAACATGTACAGACAACTGCAAAGTATATGTGACAGAGACAATATAGTGTATCCATAGGATAAATGTGGGATAATGGATGTGGGCACTTTTATTGTGGAATGCAAAAGGCAAAGGTTCATCACAACTTCTCCAAAGCCTCTGTGTGCATGATTCATCTATTTTGTGCATCACAAGGTTTTACAGTGTGAATCTAATTGAACATTTCACAGAGTGGCATCTTGGTCTGTGCTACAGAGACTGCAAGCTGTATGTTAGCTGCCTGAACAATTTTGATCATCTGGAGAAAAAAAAAAAAAATACAGTATTTCAAGTTGTGCTGTTTAACCCTGGTGATTTGTAAATACACTTTTTTCGTCTTACTCATTCTTTAAAAGTCCACATTTTTACTACCAGATCTAATCCTTTAAAAAGATACCAAGTATTGATATGATAAAGAGCTGACTGTACAGTGGCTGTACAACTTCAGCACCGTGTGTACCTAGCAAAAGCCCATTGGGTTTGATAAAAACACATCTTTAAACTAGGCATACACATGCTTTGATGCTGCTCTCTGTGTTTAGCGATCCTAAGTGCAGATTTTGTCCAGTATTAAATTTTTCGACAGCTGATCTATCAAGGCATTGCTTTTCCTTAAAAACAGGAGTGAAATTTGGCCTCCAAGTACAGTTGGCATCAAAATCTCAATGCAGATAGAAGATGTCTTTTTAATTCTCTTAAGGCTGGACATAAAGTCAGCTTTATGCCTTAACACCCATATAAACATATGTATTTAAATCCAAGTTTTCCATATTACCTCAGTGGTGGTGAAGAAAAACTAATACTCCAATCAGTACCTCTGCAGTGTATTTACTCATGTGTAAATATATACTCATATGTTTTTTTTGCAGTGTACAGATGCATCTTTTAACTGCATTTTGATTTTTAATGGCAGGTGTAAATGGAACCCATTTCGATTTCTGTTCCTATTTCTTGTCCAGAAGAAGTTTTAAGTCAGATATCCCAGCAATGGGGAGGAATCTTTTTCTTTTTTTTTTTTTTAAACAACAAAACAGGGTGGTATTGCTTTTACAAATCTTTGTTGTGCACATCAGCATTTTGTTTGTGTCCATTTCCCAAAAAGCTCACATATAAATGGAAGTTTATCATAAGGGCCGATGTCAGAGCGTGTGCTGTAGCTTCTGCAGCTTTAGGTTTTAAGATTTTAGGACAGGACAGTTGCTCTCAGGCTTTATATTTTTTCAGGCTTTACACTTTCAAAGTAAGAGCATGAGGAGAAAAAAGCCTTTCCACAGTCAGCATCATTTGTTCGCTTTAAGAGTATTTATTACCTGTTTTCCCCCAGATATTTAATTGATATATATGTATTATTTATTTCAACAAAAATAGTTAGATTGTTTTGTCAAATAATTTACTTTCATAAAAGCTTATAATCTTATTCATGAAAGAAATGGCATGTACCCCCCCTCACTAACAGTAGTTTCAGAAAACAAATTTTACTTTTAAAGTTGTGATATAAAGGTTTTATTAATGCAAAAATAACATGCCCAGCTGCCTGATGTTGAATGTGATTTAAACTTAAAATAAACTGGGACTACATCTAGTTGTTGCTGTAGTGCGTAAAATATCACTCTTATCTATTTTTGTTGCATTCTACAAAGATCACAGTAACATAGATCTCATCCTCCACTACTGCAAGACTTTAGAGGGTACAGATATGTCTGTGCCGTCTCACGTGTTAAGAAACTATTCCACTTTCTTTGTGAGTGTTTGTGTGTCTGTAGAAGGAATGCATTTTGACACCTGCTTAGTTATGCTAACACAAACTCAGAATTTTGCACTGAAAAAACAAACCATTTTTTAAAATGTTTTGCTGTGTGTGTGCGTGTGTGTGTGTGTGTGTGTGTGTGTGTCTCTGTCTCTCTCTCTCTCTCTCTATATATATATATATATATATACACATATATATACATATATATACATATACATATATGTATGTGTTTATATATACACACACACACACACATATATATATATATACATATAATATGATATAAATATACAGTACTTGCATCAGTTACACTTTAGAAAGGGCAGGTCTCAAAAGGGACACCAAGTCAATCTCCATCCTAAACGACCTCTTCTCATTTTTTGTATATAAGCATAGCATCAGCACATATTGTAATGTCATTGTCCACAGCAGACCATCTGGAAACACTGTGGCCAATCACATAAGGTCATTCTTACCTCTGGTTAGTAAAAAGTTTGCCCTGTAGGGGATGATGTGTGTTTCTGACACACACTTAAATACATGGGTATTGTGGTCACTGTTTATTTATGGTTCATCTTACAAATGCAGTGAGTTGATGTTGCAGAGACACTGGAGCTCAGCTTTGTGCACAGAGTCTCCACATGTACACCTCACTGTTGTGTTTGTCATTTTATTTTCAGCAGTGCCTTAGTGTTAAGGATTAGTGTTCATTCTTATTAGAAGCCATTTCATGTAAACCATCAGATTTGCTTTCACAGATTTAGCAGCACATACTATGTACAGTATTTTTGTTTGGCAAGTCATTGTGTAAAGCATCATGTATGTAGTGAAATTGTGGATGTGGCTTGTAAGATGAGTTGCAAACTGACCTTGAGATCTTGTGTCAGTCTGTTGCATCTGACAGTGCACTTCTTCTCAATATGGTGTCTAAACTTGCACTGTCTCGAAAATCCTAAAGAAGCAGGAGTATGCCTTGTAATTGGCAGTGTCATCATGGCCAACCTTCTCATCATACTATGGTCTCTTATACACTATACACCAGTCTAAAAATCACAGTGACTGGAACAAGGTGCTAAGTTTTCATCCTGAAATGTTTAATATGTTTTAAGACATATTTTGGTTTTTCTGGTACATTGGTTTGTCTGTTTGTTTTGTTCTGTAAATGAAGAAACACTAGCTGAAAAATGAAACATGCCAAAAGAACTTGTTTTCAGCACAGCTTTACAAGACGTGTTGTTTCCTGTGAGTGAGTAGAGAGGCAAATAAATCTTATTTTGAGTGTATTTAATCATTTCATGTGTGGATCATTATGTGACGTTTATTTGAAATAAATATATATTTTAATTTTCTCTATGTTCTGCATTGTTGTTGCTGGTTTGCAGTGTCAGCAAGTGAAAGAATACAATGTCTGTCCCAGACTGATTCTATTGGTGATGATGTTGGCCTTCAAGAGGTAACCTTTTGTATCACAACATTAATTTATATTAAGTTTTTTTTTTTTAGCATGGTTCCATGTCATGGCTCAATGCGGCTTCAGTCTGTCTGCCCTACTGCATGGATTGCCATGAGATTTGCTACAGACATTCATGGTCCCTATAGGAATGAATTGTGATGAGTTTGGTGAACTTTTGACAGTGTATCTAGAACCACCATCAGCACTACATCACTTAGCAGCATGTTAAATAACTTATGTTTACATGTATTCACAGTTAATACAAAATATGACTGAGGCTGATGAAGAAGGGCTCTGTACGTTATGTCTGTGATGTTCCAAACTGGTCGCTGTACAGAGAATAAACTACCAAACTGACTTGGTCAACTCCCAGGGCGAGTTTCATAAAAGACACTGTGGTAAACAGAAATGCAAGTTGCATGAAAAGCAAAACCTGGACCAGTTGTTCCACACCTTTTGGCTGATGTCAGTCTGATGGTTGTGACCAACTAAAGAGTGATTTTTACCAAAGGAAGTAAAAGTAGCCTGTTCTTTACAAAAATTAAAAACAAATCTTTGTATATGTTTTTTTTTTCTTCTGTATTCCTGTCCTCTTAATCATCTTGTAACCTCTTCTATTCATCTAAACCCTCAGGTTGCAATTCACAAACGAGGACAACACAGCATCATATGTAATCTCAAATGTTTCGACTGCTTTTAATATAAGCTGATTCCTGGCGCAAGTATACCATCGGTACACTTTGTTATATGCATTTGGTTTGATGATAGGTTCCCTCATTCTAACATTTTGAAAAAGTAATTTTTGTAGATTGGTCTTTGTCCTCATTTTAGAACAGTTTGGGTGACTTGTTTCCTGTCTTCTGTGGCAGCGGCTCATTGTCCCTTGTTAACCCCGTTGTCTTATTTCTGACACTACTGTAAATGGTATCTGCATTGTAAATAAACACCACATGTTCCTATTTTGCTACACACTATTTAGTCTCATCTATTTTTTCCTCCGGTTGGTTAATATCATTGTTCAAGTCCTCCTGAGCCTTTTAAGGCACACATATGCCATCTGCTGTTCACTCTTGGCTATCTGTCCTTGGTACTACTGACATTTGTCTCACTTGTCATCCGCTGTGTAAATGTTCTTTTGAGGTAACCTCCATGTGTTTCAACTGTGAACATGATACAACCATGACCTTATCCTTGACATGGCTGAGAGGTCAGCTGGAAGGCCATGATGTCAGATATTGGAGAGTATACATTGCATCCATTTTGTGAAAATTGGCTCATCGCTAAGAAATGTTTTACTTGCCAACTCTATAGTTGCTAAAAGCATAGCCAGGTACTGTGTGCCTGTCTACTGCCCTCTGCTGTTTTTTGTTCCAGGTGCTATGAGAGGGTGACCACTGGCTGAGAGTGAGTTTTGGACGATTACCAAAGGTTGTGGAAATACCATCCATGATCTGTGATCTGATGCTATCAACTGACTGTGCACCAAGAGCTTTAGAGTACAGAGAGAGCAGAGGAGGTAGAGAAAAGCAGTTAGTGGTAAGTTCAAATTTAAGTTGATTTAAAACTTTGTTTTATTTTTCCCAAATATTACACAGAGATAGACAAAATAGTTATCTATGCATTTCTTGTAATTGTTCTTTTTCTCAGTATAGTTCAGGAGTATGGAAACCAAACACAGTAGCCAGAACGGGATGAAGTGGGGGCAAGCAGCAACAGTGGATTACCGTCTGATAGAGTTTCGGGGAGTTTAATTCAGGGTCCAAGCGACCTGCTGCTGTCACTCATTGGCACTGGGGAAAAGCCCATGCTGGAAGACTAAGAAAATACCATGGAAGCCAAAGAATAGGGAAGGAACAACTTGCTACCCCAGTTTTTCTAGATGGTGTAAACATTATATTCCAGAAATATAATCACATCTCAACCTGTGATAAAGTAGAAAATAATAGAAAGTGGCACACCCTGCGGTCTAAGGACTGCTATGTCATTCTGAATGATTGCTAAGTGTTTTCGTCATTGTAACGACGCCATGGGAGATACATTTAACGCATTACTGTATTTTAGCTTAGTATGAAGTCATAACTTAATTATAGGCAGCTGTAAAGCAGCTGTCACAGTGGTGGTTGTGGAGAACAATGTGCCACAAGCTCTGTGGCAAGTTCAGCTAATCTCTCAGCTTATCCCAATCACATTTACATTCAGTCAATATTAGGATCAACACATACTGCATACATACACATGGATGACAGGGATTTTCTAGTTTCTAGTCCATGAGAAAGGGATAGAGTGACAATGAAGAAACATAAAGAGAAGTTTAAAAAAAGAATACCATACCATAGACTTGAAAATAATGCATTGTTATTATTTAGAAAATTAGTGGAATTATGATAGATTGACTACAACTGCCTACTGGTTGGACCACCTGAAACAAGGTCAAAAAATGAAGTTATAAAAGTATTTTGGGAAAAAAAGCTTATTTCCCACAAGAGTGATTAGTGGATTTATATTATTTTCATATCTGTCAGTCAGCATTCAGATCAGAGTGGGAAAAAGGGCACAGATCTAGTGAAGGATAGAGAAACTATTAAGCCTTTGTCACAACTGGAAAATATGTCAAAACTATTCAACAACTCCAATAATCACCTGGGTTTTGTCACAACAACAGAAGTAGGCCTATAACTGTGCCAAACTGGAAACTTTCACAGTCATTGTGCCCAGCTGTTGTTGGTCAAGAACTCCAGTGCAGAAGCTAGCTTCACATTCAACCACTTCATTTTTGATTTGGCGCATCCTCAAATTCACTTCCCTCTACAGCCTGTGGTAACTTGTGCCAAAGGATCACTACATACAGCTTGTAGTGGTAAGAGGTCGTGTTGCAGGTCACAAAGTTGCATGTACAAGAAAGACTCAAAAGTACTTTTGTGGTTTTGTTATGCTGGGTCTGAAAATCATCAATAGTCTTGTACTAGGCAAATGTTCAGCATTTCTGGCTGCTTGTGGATCTATAGTGTAACTACACAATGACTCCAGTCTAAGTCACAGGATTCAAGTCAACACAAAATCAATAACCTTAAGCGGCCTTAACTACAGTGTTCATAAATTAATGTCTGAAATACCTACCACTGTTGGTATTTAGTATCTAAAAGTCTTAGGCTACGTTCTCATGAAGTCATCTCAGATGTTTGGAGCCTACTCCATGTATTTTGGCTTAAAACAAAATAAAAAATAAATTCTCTCTACCTCCTTGGACAATGCTAGAACTACTATCACAGCTTCCAAAAGCATTTTTATAGGCTGATGAGAATAAATGAATGTAATGAATCTAAAAAGGCAGGGCCTTAGCTAACAGTGAGGATGCTGAGGTCATGTCCAAAAAGTTTGTTTTTTGGGAAATTTGGGAGTTTTTAGGAACCTGGGAGGCAATTATATATAGTAGGCCTATAAATTGCATATATATAAAGACAAAAATCAGTATACACTGCAGATCTAATGTGATCATTTTATTGTCTTATTGTATGGAGACCTTCATGTATTTAGGTCTTCATGTTGAGAGATAAATGAACAGAAACGAACTAAGTAAATGAAATTTGAGTGTTAATAAATAAATCATTAAATACAATCATTTAATTGATAATAAAATTATTATTATCATTCAATTAATAATACCAATACTACTGCTACTAATAATAATAATGATAATAATAATAATAATTATTGTTATTGTTATTGTTATTGTTATTGACAGACTAGGTTTTTGGTTTCTGGTAAAGTTTGCCGAAGGAAAAAGGGGGTTGTGTTAGGGAATTTGGACTCATGACCTCAATCCATATAGATAAGAGCAGGGGAAAAAAGGATGGAGTTAAGAAAATATAGCATTTTGTATGCCATCTGTCTTATTTATGACCTGTTGCTACTGAAAGCTTCCACTCTGCAGATGTAAAACATTTTGGTAGTAATATTCATCATTATGAGTTGTTTACGACTTAACTGTCCGAGTGGTGGTGTGCAGCCCAACAGAAGTCAGGCCAGTCTGTTCTCCTTCCCCGCCTCACCAACAGGCTATCTCCTATCTCCACGGTAAATGACAAGTCTATTTTGGACAGGAGGTTGCGCTAAAAGAGGAACGTCAGCTATTTGGCATCATGAGGTACCGGAGAAGAAAGAAAAAATAAGTCTAGTCAACCGCCCACTGCCGGAGACTGGGGGGGATGTTAACACCATCCTGGATTTACAACCATTGCAAGGATTTTTGAGCACAAAGAAGACATTTCTGGTGGGATTTCTAGCAGTCATACAGGAGAAGGCTATCATCCGGAAAACTTGACGGCCAACTGAAGTTTAAGCCCACATGATTCAACGCCAGTTTTACCTGAGTGGCTGAAGACTCGAGGTGAAAAAGTAATGTTAGGCTTAAAAAAATATAATGAAATTAATACTTAATTTAACATTAATACTTATATCGATAAGTGACTGAACTTAGAGCAGCTTTTCAGTTCATTTTCACTAAAATTAGCTTGGTTTTAACACACCTGTAACGGTTAAGCGTCACAACTGCTGTTTTGAGTTAACGCTAGTTAGCTACAACTGCCAGTTTTGATTAAGCTAATTTTATGTTATTTGACCAATTACGCGCTCATGTTCTCCAACTTTAGAAGTTATTTAAACCGCAGATTACTAACTGAATACCAACATAATATTCAGTCGTTTTCGTTGCCTTATAGAAACACAACGGGAAATATTTCTGAAGTGGGAGCTTTATTAAACAGCTGATGTCCCTTTCGCTTCTACAAATGGCAATGGACAGAGACGGGGTCTAACAGCTGAGGTTATTTTTGGGACAGGCAGTTCAAGCGACAGAGGTGACAAAGCTGGCAAATGTCACTCTTTGAAAGGAACATATCTGCTCTATTTGACCTTGTTACAGGGGAATTCATTTGTTGTTGTGTTATTAAGCTACCGACCTGTTGAATTGGCTGTATGAAGTTATGTCTTTGTACAAATGAACGTCTGCAGGGCCAGGACAGGGTATGACTGTCACTGTAACTGCCAGCTATAAATATGCCATTCTGAACAGTGGGTTTATGTCTATTTTCACAGCATAGCATATTTATAGAGTACATGTAGCAAACTTTCACATCTCACAATGGTTTGGGTGTATTTACCAGTTAACTTTGTGATTTAATATGTGGCCTGGAAGTAATATAAAATGGCTCAGACAACCTTTGTTATGAGCATTCAAACAAGTCTTATTTGTTACAGTTAATTAAATTAGGATAATTAAATGAAATTATAAAACTTAAATTCCACAAATTAGTATCAGAAACACCATCACATTCTTGTGTGAAATGTTTTTGAATTAGCCAATAATAAACTGTGTCAAACTACAGCTATGACAATATTTATAAGAACTTTGATGAATGAAAAATACGGTTTAATTTTCCATAGTATTTCATTTTTGCTTCCCTGGTAGGGGTGAACTATTAATTGAAATATTATCGAAATCGCAATATGGCCAAGTGCAATAGCCTAATTGCAGGAGCTGGAGCTTTTTGCTAAAGGTAAAAAGTGTCACATTATACCATAAATGAAGCATTGTTGTGCTACAGAGATGCCCCAGCCTACAAATTATATTCTCCAGATGTAAAGGACCATGCATGTTTGATACAGACCCCAACAAAAATCATGTTATCATCATTTTTATATTTTTTTTCCGTAAAAATTAAATGCAAAAATGACCATTCTAACTAAAATCGTGACTCATATCGCAATCACACTATTTGCCAAAATAATCGCATTATGATTTTCTTTTTTGCATAGTGTTCAGTGCTACTCTCTGGTATTGTATTATATTGTAATTTTGGCCTTTTCTTTAATTATAGGAACAAACGATGGATCCAAACTTGTTTGGAGGAGCCCCCAGGTTTCTCACTCGTCCAAAGGCGTTTGCGGTGTGTGTGGGCAAAGATGCCACACTCAGCTGCACTATTGTGGGCACTCCAACCCCGCTGATCACTTGGGAGAAGGAAAAGCTGAAGCTGACATCTGGGGGCCGCTTCAAGACCGTGGAGGATGGAGATGTGTACCGCTTGACCATCTATGACTTAACACTGGAGGATAGTGGACAGTACATGTGCCGGGCCAAGAACAGTGTTGGGGAAGCTTATGCTGCTGTAACCCTAAAAGTGGCGCTGCCAACAGAGATGGCTCAGAGGGCCCCCGTTTTCTTGGTGAAGCCTACATCTGCACGTGTAGGTTTGGGAGGCGATGTTGTTTTCCACTGCCGGGTTGTAGCTTACCCTGAGGCCAACTTTGACTGGGAAAAGGATGGGCGCTACCTGGGGGAGACAAACCGCATCAAGATTGTTTCTGACAGCGACAGCAGCACCTTAAAGATCCAAAGTGTGCGTAACCTGGACAGCGGTACCTACACCTGCAGGGCTCAGAACACTGTTGGCCGAGCACACACTGCAGCAGCTCTTGTCGTAGATGCGCAGGACTCCCGCCACCTGACTGCAGATAAGAACACCTCCCTCCTCTCTCACTTACAAAAGCGCAAAGAGGAAATGAAGAAGGACATTTCCATCTATCGCACTGAAGAAAGCTCCTCAGTTTCTTCTTCCAAAACCACCATCACAGATGGTTTCAGTTCTCTGAGTCTGGAACATGAGCTGCGGGCATCTGCACTGGCAAAGCTGCCCAAAGGTGTGTTCACCCGTACCTGCACTGTGACTGAGGGCAAACACGCCAAACTCAGCTGCCTTGTGACGGGTCACCCTAAACCCCACATTATTTGGAGAAGGGATGGATCGAACATCAGTGAGGGCCGTAGGCATATCATTTATGAGGACCAGGCTGAGAACTTCATCCTCAAGATCCTGTTCTGCAAGCAGAGTGATAATGGTCTCTACACCTGCAATGCAACCAATATGGCCGGGCAGACCTACAGTGCTGTATTGGTAACAGTCAAAGGTAAGCCTTAAGAAAAAAATACATACAGTGATAGAAAACCACTTTTTCTAACTGTTTTAATAAACCACAGCTTTCATTAGAGACATGTTCATGAATTCATTGCATCATCTATCAACACATATAACATCTTAGAGGCCGGCACTCTAGACCATGTCATATCCTATATTAACAGTATATTCCTAACATGTACAGAGGTTTATGTATAAGGCTGGGTTGATTCTTGTCAGCAATTCCCATGAAAAGCCTAAAACCAGTACACTGTCTTTCTGTGGTTCTTAGCCCCAAGGCCTAAAGCCATTCATCCCCTCTCAGGAACTAACTCTTTATGCACTGCCCAGAAATGTATAGTTTTATTTTTAAAAAGGGTGAATTATTTCCTATAACAGCTGGGCAGTTTGGTTTTTAGCAAACATTACTGAAACAGAAGTAAATAGTCGCTTGTTGGGGGCTATTTTGAGCTGCAGATAAATATCAGTGGTCCAGTGAGTAGTTATATCACCAGGATGGTGTATATGTAATTCACTCAAAATAAAGTGCAGTGCCTATGTTCATCCTAATGAAGGGACATGTCACCCTGTTTAGTGGTGTGGCTCATTCATGTGTTTTTAATAGCAATACAATTGGAGGCACAGTGGAACAAGCTAAATGTAAGTGGCATAAACTCATTGTTGGCAACTGCAGAACCATAAGTGTGGTCCAAATCACTGTATTGAAGCCTCATTTAAACCTCTCAAAATGTGTTTGGCTTTTCACAACAAGGTTGAATTCTGGCTCATCCTCTGTGGGAAGGGTGTTGTGTTGCATCTATTTTCTGCTGGTGATGAGTAGTTCACAGTTGCTAAGATGGTCACTCACTTACTGGCGAACACTGATACCACTGCTCGTGTGACTCCCCTTTGGAAGAAATAGGCCCAAGTGATGAAACTGTAGCGTTGTGGATTTATGTTGGTTGTTAATCCATTCAGTGGGTTGTGACACTGATGTACCTGTATTGCACTGGTAGGTGCAGTGACATAGATATTAATGATGTTTGCCTTGTAGTTTGTTTGCTGGAAAGAAAGTTTGCAATTGAAAGGCATAAACATTTTGAACTATTGGTGGTTGTGTGACCATTTATCATTCTTTAATAAATACGCTAAATAAAAACAGCCCTGGATAAAAACAAAAATATAGAAGAAGAAGAAATAGATAAGAAATGGGGACAACAAATACACAGTGCCATTTACAGACACTGAATTGTCTATTACTTACACCAGAACAACAAGGGACATATGTGGTTAATCAGGGTTAATCATTTTCACCAAAATACACACAAAGCATTGTACTTTGTGTATCCTTCAACAACTTGACATTATATTACACATAGTTTAGAAGTGAAATGAGGGTCTTCATTCCCGGGAAAACCTATCAGACACCTTTTTATTTTTTGTTAATTTGTTGATGAACAGAATAAATAAGGGTTGTTAAGGTGTGGTTCATAATGTTTGGCTCTGGTTCATGGCAGATATAGGACAGCAGATATTTAGCAAATATACTGTATTTAACTTTGTGACCATTACTTTTGTGCAAACTGATATTCTCTTAAGTAAAAATATTTGAACACTCAGCTGAAAACAGCTCACTTGTCCTTTAGAAGGTGCACTATTGGAGACATTGTAAATATCTTAATGAAAATATCAAATTTTATGTGGATACTGAACCCAGAGGACATCTCCCGTAATTCAAATATGGATACAGTTTGAAACTTTAACCCTCATTTGTGGCGCAGAGCGTAGTAAGAAACCTGAGAAGTCTCAAATCTTTGGTGCTGAAGTTTCGTTAAACACACCACATAAAAATTGCACATCTTAAATGCCAAGTATGATGGATTATTTCCAAGCTAGTTTCTAGTTTCTCTGACTACAGCCAAGATCACAGGGAAATAAAAGTAGAAAGTGGAAAATGGTTGACAGTATCATAAAGTATATTCTGTAGTTCATAGTTCATAGACTGACAGATGCAAAACTATCAATATGGTTGTGTAACCTGAAGATTCTGTAACATTCCTTGTGTCAGAGCCGAACGTGCCGTTCAGGAGGAAGCTGCAGGATGTGGAGGTCCAAGAGAAAACGGCGGCCACATTGATGTGTGAGGTGCCTCTCAGTGCCACCCATGCCAACTGGTTCATGGAGGAAACAAGGCTGGAGCAAAGCACCAAATATCGCATGGAGGAGGAGGGCACCCTGCGACGTCTCACCATTCACAATGTCACCACAAACGATGATGGTGTTTACATCTGTGAGATGAAAGAGGGCAGTCGCACTGTGGCTGAGCTCACTGTCCTGGGTATAACTGAGATTTTTTTTCTCTCTCTTTAGTTCTTGTTTATTATTTAAATATTTTGTGTGGATATCATAAATCTGTTATCAAGTTAAATTAATGTGACATTACTGCTTAAACTAAGGAAAACGTTCCTTGGACATTTTCTCATTTGTGAGTCTACTACGCCACTAAGCCCTGTTTTCTTTATTTAAATCTACTTATTCTGCTGTCCCAGGCAACATTACCAAGAAGCTTCCACGGAGGACAGTAGTTCCTGTCAGTGACACTGTCATCTTCTGTGTGGAGCTGGAGCATCCCTGCCCAGATGTCTATTGGACCCGCAATGGGGAGAAGCTGAAGGAAGATTCCCGTATTTCCATTGCCTGCGTGCTAAGACAGTACACACTCACCATTAGAGATTGCCAGGCAGATGACTCAGGAGAAGTGGCCTTTGTGGCTGGAGACTGCAAGACCTCCACTCGATTCTCTGTCACTGGTGAGAATGTCACAATGGGTCAAATGCTGTTTTAAAACAATTGTATTTTTTGGACCTGCATGCAAAACCCTATACTTGAGGTCTAGGGTCAGCATTTAAGGTAAATTACAGATAATTGAACTAAACATACTTAAAATTTTTGGTGATTATCTTTTTTAATTTTCAGTTCATTTGATTCTTGTCTTACTTGAACACTACCTACCTTTAACACCTTTACAGATTAAAGCAAACATTATTGGGTTACACAGAACTGTGTATACACTTCATGATAAAGACTTTTAATTTTTTATTTGCTATTGCAAACACTACTACAAAGACTGATGTTTTATGTTGCTTGCCAAATAGCAATGAAAAATGAAACAGTACTTTGATTTATGAGTTGGACAAGGTGTGATCATGTTTGTTTTCACCTTCAAATAAGTGGTGAGGGAGTGTCAAAAAATGTAGGATCTATTCAGTACAGCAAGCTCCTGTTTTGAAATAGATTAGTCTCCATTCAGGTCCATCACAAGCTTTTTAACTTATACTATATAACTTTGCGGTGCCTTGAATTTCTTTACCTTAGATAGTAAAAAAAAACAAAAAACAGGTCTAAAACCTGATCAGGGCACATATTCACAAAGCATCTTAAGAATACAAGCAGAGTCCCTATGACGTCATAGAGTATCACAGTTATTAAGCTGGTTAAAAAGTAGGATACCTGACAAGAGTGCAACAAGAATGCCTGGAAACTCTAAAAGTAAAGCCCAGGTTATAAAAAAAAATGTAATCTGTAATCGTTCTTTTGATACGCTGCAATCACTGAATACTCATCAGATAAAAAGCACAACCATCACTCTTTTTGCTCTAGCTGCAAGGAAGCATCCTCCTGATCCCCCAGTCGATGCTGTGGTGCAGAACAAGACTGACTCATCCATCACCATTCAGTGGTCTCCTCCTGACAGCGATCGCCCTGTGCCCATCAAGGGTTACCATGTGGAGAGGAGGAAGGTTGGCAGTCAGACATGGCAGAGGTGCAATGCTGGAGAAACCATTGTTTCAACAGAGATTACCATCAGAAACTTCACTGAAGAAGCCAGCTACCAGTTCCGTATCTCTGCTACGAATGACTTTGGCCAGAGTCCCTACCTGGAGGTGCCTGGAAGCTTCTACCTTGGTAAGGCTGATGTCTTGTTGATATTTGTGACATTTATCATTCATGGATATCTGCTGTTGTTGTATACATTCAAGTGTTCTTTCCTCATGTCTGGTTTGCCTGTTGCCTCCAGAGCCCACTGCAGAAATCAGGAAAGGCCTGATGAACAGCAGTGCAATATCTGGCGAGGAGTTCTCTCTCTCTCTGGAGCTTTCTGCTGTTTGTTCTGGCTTCTGGTCTCTGAGTGGACGCCTCCTCCGCAGTGGAGCTGACTACCTCATCACCAGGTCCAAGAACACACACACACTGCTCATCCGTGTCGTGACCATGGAAATGAACGGAGCTGAAGTCAAGTTTGTGGGCGGAGGCTCACAAAGCAGTTGCATCCTATCTGTGAAGGGTATGCACTTCACGTCATAGTCAGTTAAACTATGGATAGGGAGAATGCTCATATAAATATATTGTTGTATATTTTCTTTTCTGTATTAAAATTTAAATTTGTAGACATAGATTCTTTCTTCACCTTGTTTTCTATCGAAGACAACTGGTATTTTTTGTGAGACGCAAATAAATAATGCAATAACCTGACAACTGTATTTTTAGTCCCCGCTGTTAGGTTCACTAACAAGTCAGGTCAGATGGAGATGATGACCTGCAGTGCCCAAGCCAGTGCTCAGCTGACTGCTGAGGTGTCGGATTACGATGCACAGGTTTGTAATGGAAATGCACATCAGTTCTAGCTTTTACTTTTTGTTTTCATGTGCTATATTAATGTATTTTTCATTTTACCAGTATGCAAGGTATGGAAGACGTATAAGTGCTATCATTTCTGTAATTGAGAAGCAGTCCCTTACTTCCTACATTTAACCGATTTTAATGGCAAATAAAAATGGCAAAAGGATATCAGAAGGCTATTCCGTTAAAGAGATTTGTGCATTGTGTTTGAACTTGGAGGGGTAACTTCATATGGAAATGAATTCCATCATTTACCCATTCCCATCGACTACATGTTACTGTTGCTTGGTGTTGTCTGCAAAAGAGACAATTTTTTATTGAGTATTTGAATATAGAATATTGAAGTACCTTTTTAACCCTATAATTTACTTCATTTTGCCTGTTGTGGCAATCTGTTCTGTCTTTGCTCTTCAGGTGGTTTGGATGAAGAATGGGCGGGAGGTGAAAATGGGCAAGAAGTATGAATATGTCAACACTGACCGCAAGAGGATCCTGATGGTACACAATGTTACAGAGGAAGATGTGGGCATCTACGAGTGTGTTTTAGCTGATGACAAGATGTCCCTGCAACTCACTCTTAAAGGTACTCTTATCAAAATCAGTGGCAAAAGTACGGTTCTCTATCACAGAGAAACAATCCTGTCTTGTTTGGAAATGTGCTGCAGTTGTTTGTTCTGTGGAACAAAGGTTTTGCCAAATGTTAAGTGCTAAATATGTCCTGCGTGGTGCAGAGATGATTTCATTAAAAGAACTGGGCTCAGTGTGTGGAACAAAGTGCTGCGTCTAGCCGACATGCAGACAGTTTGTCTCAGACCATGTGATATACTGGAATGTGTCCTGCTCTGATGGCTACGAGCATATGCTTATCAGCCATCAAACAGGAAAGCAATCTGTCATCATGTAGCCAATTCCACTGTGGCCCATCAGCTCACGCTCTTCCTACACATGAACTCATCTGATAACAAACATAAAAGTATATATTTAAGTATATATATATATATATATATATATGTATAAGAGATTTCATTAAATGTCACAAAGACTTTACTTGTACTAGTCTCTAATTAGGCAACACCAATATTAATTTGTATGAAAAAGATTAATTGACAAATATTTATTAGAAATGTATTACTTAATTTCTGTCTCTGTCCTCTAAGATGAACCTGCCAAGTTTCTGAACAAGGCCAGAGGTCCCATGGGACTATCATCGTCCCTTAAAGGAGATCTTGAGCTCAGCTGTGAGGTATCCCTAGCTAGCGCGGCTGTTGTGTGGAGAAAAGATCAGGTTGAGATCACTGAGGACCAAAGAACTAACATCATCTCCAAAGGGACTCAAAGGAAACTAGTCATCAAGAATGCCAAGAAAAGTGATGAAGGACATTACTCCTGTGAGACGGCAGCAGACAAAGTCACATTCCATGTCAAGATAAAAGGTGAGACTATGCTTTTGTACTATCAGTCAACATTTGACTGCATTTTTTTTTTTTTTTTACTTTATTTTCATTTTCCTTTTAATTTTTCAGAAAGTCAAACTCAAGCCCAAGCTGCCTTCTCTAACAAGGAGTCAGTCCAGAAGGAGGTGAAAGCCTCTCTGTCCCAGAAAGCAACTCTTAGTTGTAATGTGTCTGATAGCAAGACAGAGGTGAAATGGTATAAAGATGGCAAGCTGTTGGTATCCAGTAGGACCATATACTCAGAAGCAAAAGGCAGTTCTCGCCAGCTGGTGATTGAAAAGGTGGAGAAGAGTGATGCTGGAGAATATACTTGTGAAGCTGGAGGGGATAAGCTGGTCTTCAAGATATCTGTGTCAGGTAGGAATACTTGATATTTTAATTGTTATATAGAATTTAAAAAATATTTTCAGTTTGTGGTGTCAATTTCGTGATTTTAAATGTCACAAACAGAAGCTGATGAGGTTTGCCTGTGAGAGTAAACATTTAGTATTTAGAATCATCATATCTTCACATACTTAAGAAGATGACGTGATGGATGTGTCATTCATATGTATCTAATATGTTTCAGTCTTTGGCAGTCTTGCCCGCAGTGCTCATAACAACACTGTATTTCTCATTGATGTTACCCTCAGAGGCCCTGTCAGCTTTCTTCAACAAGGAGTCAGTCCAGAAGGAGGTGAAAGCCACTCTCTCCCAGAAAGCCATTTTAAGCTGTGAGGTAGCTGATACCAAGACAGAGGTGAAATGGTACAAGGATGGCAAACTGTTGACTTCCAGTAAGACAATCCATGCAGAGTCAAAGGCCAAGAGTCGGCAGCTGGTGATAGACAGCGTGGAGAAGAGGGATGCTGGAGAGTACATCTGTGAGGCTGGGACTGAGAAGTTGGCCTTTAAGATACAGGTGGCAGGTAAGGGAGGGGGATTTTCAAAATAATAGTGCTACTTATGGGATGCTTATTTGTAAGCTCTGGATGAATAGAATCTGATATTTTCATTATGTGATCCCATCAGAGCCCCAGTCAGCTTTCTTCAACAAGGAGTCAGTTCAAAGGGAGGTGAAAGCTACTCTCTCCCAGAAAGCCACTCTGAGCTGTGAGGTTTCTGATTCTAAGACTGAGGTGAAATGGTACAAGGATGGCAAGCTGCTGACTTCAAGCAAGACAATCCATGCAGAGTCGAAGGGCAAAAGTCGCCAGCTGGTGATTGACATTCTGGAGAAGGAGGATGCCGGAGAGTACATCTGTGAGGCTGGGTCTGAGAAGTTGGTCTTTAAACTCCATGTGGCAGGTAGGGGCAAGGACAGGCTTATAGTTTTGCTCTTGATTGATGTGCTAAACAGGTATTGCAGATGTTAACATATCGGTGGACATGGAAAAAGTTTTCGTCATTCACATTCATGGTCTCCTCCACAGACACACATGTCCAGTCTGCATTCTCTAATAAGGAGTCAGTCCAGAAGGATGTGAAAGCCACTCTCTCCCAGAAAGCCACTCTGAGCTGTGAGGTAGCTGATACCAAGACAGAGGTGAAATGGTTCAAGGATGGCAAGCTGCTGACTTCCAGCAAGACAATCCATGCAGAGTCAAAGGCCAAGAGTCGCCAGCTGGTGATCGACAGCGTTGAGAAGAAGGATGCTGGAGAGTACATCTGTGAGGCTGGGACTGAGAAGTTGACCTTTAAAGTACATGTGGAAGGTAAGGAGAATACATATTATTTAATTACTACCAAATCAAGATTATTAAATTAGAACTTGTCATTGGTAGACTTATTGATAGACACTTCATAACTCAAATATACATTTTAGTTTTGTTGATTCTCTAATTCAATAATAATACATACACGATATGAAAATTAAAACTCACCGGTATGACTAGAAATATAGAAATGTTAAAGTTTGTCACTCATAATGATCGAACAATACGATATGGCACAATAAAGCTTTTCAAGAATGGAAAAACATTTTATTTTCAAAAGGTGACCAAGTCTTATGCTATCTTGTTTTTTTTATAGAGATAAGAAAAACATTTACTGTGAAACTGGTGGATTTGTGTTTTCTATTTGTGTTGTCTTCTCCTTTTTTTTTGGCTGCATTGTTGGTTGCTTCAGTTCGAGGTATTTGTTATGCCTTGCTCAAATGTTGAAAGTCCAACATTGGCTTAGATTCTTACATTAGTAGGTGATAATAATATCTTTTGTCGTTGTTGTTGTTGTTGTCTTGTATGATTTGTTTGGTGAGGCTGCTTTGATATCTTGTGTCTCTGCTGTTTGTCAGGTCCTGTGTTGTAATTTGGTCTTTCAGTCAGAAAGAATCGTTGTTGATGTCTCAATTGTGCCTCTCTGTGGCTGCCTTCACATAAATAATCTGCTTTCACTTTGTGACTGCAAACTTCTGTGTAGTTGTGTCCCTCAGCTTTATAGGCTTAAATAGACTTCGTGGCTCTGTGTTCTGCATCTGTAAAGTTCACTTACATGTGTTCAGTTCATCCAGAGCAGTGTTCGTGTTGTGGTTTTAAAGTAGTCCGTTTTTGTATCGGTAATTCTATTCCCACACTCACGTCTACAGAAATCCGGGCTAAATCTGCTTTCCTCAACAAGGAGTCAGTCCAGAAGGAAGTGAAAGCCACTCTCTCCCAGAAAGCCACTCTGAGCTGTGAGGTAGTTGATACCAAGACAGAGGTGAAATGGTACAAAGATGGCAAGCTGCTGAGTCCCAGCAGAACAGTTCACTCGGAATCAAAGGGCAAAACTCGTCAACTGGTGATGGACAGCATAGAGAAGAAAGATGCAGGGGAGTACATCTGTGAAGTCGGAACAGAAAAACTGGCATTTAAAGTACTAGTGACAGGTATGAGAACATTAAAGGGAATGATATTTGTCAGAGGAGTATGACTTTTGCAAAACTGTTATGTCTGTCTGAAGATTTCAGGTGAATCAGAACAAAGTTGAAAAACAGCTGCAGTGGAGGATTTGAATCTTTAGTTTGGCTTAAATGTTGTTTTGGGTTGAGTTGTTATGTTACTGTTATCGCACATATTTGTGCATATTGTTCATATATATTCGTTTTTATGTAGCTGCACAGTACTATTTGCTGGTCTCAGCTATAATGCACATTTGTCCACTTTAATCTCAGTTGATGTTTTCCCGGTTATGTTTGTTGTTAAATAACATTTTCCATTATTACCTTTTTAGAGATTCAGCTGAAGTCGGCCTTCTCTAACAAGGAGTCTATCCAAAAGGAGGTGAAAGCCACTCTCTCCCAGAAAGCCATTTTAAGCTGTGAGGTAGCTGATACCAAGACAGAGGTGAAATGGTACAAGGATGGCAAACTGTTGACTTCCAGTAAGACAATCCATGCAGAGTCAAAGGCCAAGAGTCGGCAGCTGGTGATAGACAGCGTGGAGAAGAGGGATGCTGGAGAGTACATCTGTGAGGCTGGGACTGAGAAGTTGACCTTCAAGATACAGGTGGCAGGTAGGAGGAATAAGATATTGCTAGTATTTCTTATGTAGTAGAGTATGCAAATGTGAATTAAATATGTGTGATTTGTTATGTAGCAGTGTGTTGATTTGTTCTGTTTTGTTCCCCAGTTTGCATTTCATCATTAAGCCTGCTCATTGCAATTGAAAGGTTTTGGCTGTATCCACGTATTTGGGGTCGACTAATATGTTGTCATTTGTTGACATCACATTTTGTTATTTACTCTGCAGAAACCCTAGCTGGCTTCTCGAATAAGGAGTCAGTCCAGAAGGAGGTGAAAGCCACACTCTCCCAGAAAGCCACTTTGAGCTGTGAGGTTTCTGATTCCAAGACAGAGGTGAAATGGTACAAGGATGGCAAGCTGCTGACTTCCAGCAAAGCAGTTCACATGGAGTCAAAGGGCAAGAGTCGTGAGTTGGTGATTGAAAAAATGGAGAAAAAAGATGCTGGAGAATACACCTGTGAGGCTGGAACAGAGAAGCTGGTATTTAAGCTGCAAATGACAGGTACAAATATATTTTAAACATAATTCATTTTGTCACACGATTAATAAGAAAGCTACTGAAAATTAGTTCTATTCTCTCTGCAGAAGCAGCTGTCAAGTTCCAGAAGAAGTCCATCAAGGACACATATACTGTTCAAGCAAGTGAAAACATTGTTTTGACCATTTTGCTGACCACAGAGAGTGGTAGTGTGAAGTGGTTTAGAGATGGTGTGGAGGTCAAGGAGAGCAGCAAGTATGAAATGAAAAAAGATGGCCGTTCTCGTACCCTGATAGTAAAATCCACCGAAGCCAAAGACAGTGGAACATACTCCTGTCAAACTGCTAATGACAAACTGGAGTTCAAAGTTCAGGTTAAAGGTAGGACATAGAAAAGTTTATAACCTGATAATTGCTGCATAGACCTTTGCAGATGCCAGATTGTGTTTTAATATCTAATTTCTCTGTTTCGTTTCAGAATTAGCTTTGAAGTTTGTTGTACCCTTGAAATCTGTTGATGTGGAGTTGGGAGGTACAATTAGCCTGATGTGTGAACTAAATCAAGCCTCAGGGGATGTTGTCTGGCACCATGATGGTCGTGAGATTAAACCTGGAGGCAGGTTTTGTGTCAGGACAGATGGTGCTAAGCGGGTTCTCACTGTGACTGGCATGTCTAAGGAAGATGAAGGAGAATACAGCTGTGAATGTCGAAATGATAAGACCTCTGCTAAAGTTTCCTCCAAAGGTAATTCATCACTTAATTAAAATTGGAATCCAATGGAAAAATCAAAAATTCAGTTTCACAGCTGAAACTTTTTTTTTTCATAATAATTCGGCTTGATTTGTTGTCACTCATTCCTTTCAGCACCCAGACTAGTGAGGCTGACCACCAAACTCAACAATGTGGTTGCAATGGAGGGAAAAGACGCAATTTTCAAGTGCGCTGCCACCCCAGCAGACGTCAGCATTAAGTGGTTCCACAAGAATATACCCATCACTGCTGGGCCTAAGTATAAGATTGAGCATGGTGGCAACACTCACTCACTCACCATCAGCGCTGTCACCCAAAAAGATGCTGGAGAGATTAGTGTTGATGCAGAAGGCAAAAGCTGCAAAGCTACCTTACAAGTGCAACGTAAGAAGTGCATTTATTGTTAAAATATCTATTTTAAGTAGCATAATTTCCTCATTAACGTAAACATTTCTGTGCGCCCCAATCAGATGAGCCAGTGACATTCAAGAAAAAGCTAGAAAACCTGACAGTGGAGGAGCAGAGTGAAGTGAAGCTGGAGGTGGAGCTCAGTCAGGCATCCGATGAAGTCAGGTGGATGAAGAACAGCGTAGTGCTGCAGCCTGCGGGAAACCTGGAGATTCGGGTAGATGGAGTCAAGCAGACTCTGGTCTTCAGGAGTGTGACCTCTGCTGACCGTGGGATCTACTCCTGTGAAACTCTGGATGACAAGACCCAGGCCAAACTCAGTGTTGAGAGTAAGATTTATCCACAGTCACATTTGTTTTAAGAAACAGTATACAGTATACGAGGATATACCTTAACCTTAAAAAAAGAATGTCATTCTCCAGTGATGTGTGTTTGGATATAAATTTTGAACACTTGCCTGCATGCTTACACTCCAACATTTCCTCCTCCTCCCTTCAGTGAAGAAGATCCAGGTAATTAAGGGCCTAACAGAAACCAAGGCACATGAGACAGAGACAGTAACACTTGAGGTAGAACTCAGCCAGGCTGATGTCGAAGGCTCCTGGACCAGGGATGGAGCCAAGTTAAAGTCAGGGGCGACCTGTCGTATCACAGCTCTGGCAAAGAAGCACGCCCTTACATTGTCCAATCTCAAGAGGGAGGATGCAGGAACTATTGCATTCCAGGCAGATGGTGTCCATACTTCTGGCAAACTGATTGTCACAGGTAAAGGCTATTTCCTTTTAGTCTGTCTAGTCCTCTGTTGGTAGGGTCTTGGCAGACCAGTCTTAATTTGCTATATATTCGTAGTACTAATTCCACCTCAAGAATCACTTCATGCTAGAGTCCACATAGTCTACATAGTCACTTTTTACTCAATTGTTTTGATTTTTTTTAGAACCGCCTGCTATGATCTCCAAGCCCATTATGGATATCAGTGTTCCTGAGAAGGAGAAGGTTACTTTTGAATGTGAAGTGTCCAGAACAAATGCAGATGTTAAATGGTTCAAGGTGAGAAATTACTATTTGAATTGCTGTCTGCAGAGTAAAATAATAAGACTGAAAAAGTGCAGGCCAAGTGTAACCTTTTGAAAAAAATGATTAATCTTCAGAATGATGTGGAACTGAAACCAGGGAAAAACTTTAGCATCCATTCCTTGGGCCGAAAGCGCACTTTGGTCATCAGCAAGTGCACCCCTGACGATACAGGCACTTACATCTGCCGCACTACTGATGATAACACCTCTGCCAAGCTCGCTGTTCATGGTAAATATTACTCCTGTCATGAAGCTCACAAACCACTCAGGTACTATTATTTAGAGTATAGTATAACAATTTCCAGTATATAAAACCTCTTAAATCGTTTCCCTGCAGCCAGAGATATCAAGATCATTAAGAAACTGGAAGATGTGGAGGTGATGGAGAAGGAAAGTGCTACATTTGTCTGTGAAATTTCACATGATGAAGTGGACTGTCAGTGGTACAAAGGAAGTACTAAACTCAAAGTCGTTGGCAATATCAAGATGAGACAAGAGGGTAAGGTCGCAAGCAATTAGAAAATAAATAATAATCTACCTGTGCATCCGCACAATATTGTAGAATTTACCTGAATAATTATTATGACTAATACGGATTTTTTTTTTACTGTGAGCTGTCATGTGTCTTTTTCCAGGCCGAACATATGTACTGCTGTTTAAGTCCGTTTCCCCAGAGGATATGGGCGAGATTAAATTCACAGCTGAGAAGGCCTCTTCAACTGCAAAACTTAAAGTGAAAGGTAAACAAATAAATGTGTTATGCACTAAAATCACATAACAGCAAATATTGTGTAGTATATATGGTATACTGTATTGTTGCATGGATTAGTTTTTTTTTGTGTTTTATTTATTTATTTAACAGAGACAGTGCCATTTAACATAGTTCCAAAACAAAGCATGAAACTGATGTGTTGCACAGAGTTTATAGCTACTGCTAATTTTCAACTCTTGTCCCTTGTTGGGCTGTTACCTGTGCAGTTAAACATTATGTTGCAATGTTCAGATGTGGTTGCAAATGGATTCTTTATTCATATTGACAAAAGCTGTCAGAAAGTTGCAAACAATTAAATATCCTGCACATTCTAATCTTTACTTTCTTTTAAATTAAATCAATTAAACTGCTGTAAATTGATCACCATGCTATGCAGAAGTGCTTGCATGCACTTTTCTGGGTGATTTTATAAACTGATCTCAACATTTCAACTAGTTTACTGAACCAAATGTAAAAGGTCACACTAGAGTTTAATGAAATGTTCTCTTGCTAAAAGAGTTGATGCGTTGCATCATTCTGATAGTATTTAGTCTGGTGAGATAGAAAATCCAGTTGCAACTTGCATTTACATTGTTATGCTTCATTGAGGGCTGATGGCAAAAGGAACACAACTCTTTTGGTGTCTTACCAGCTGAGGTTTAGGTTTATTTCTCAGAGGCTTTGTCATAGCTGTCTTTCTTGACTGAATTTAGGTAAGCATCTGTGTGATGGTTTTTACAGATTACATCATTAGTCAAGTGATGTTGGACATTTTGGGATTATTTAATGATTGGATATCTTGATATGTATAAGAGAAAACTACCTGTCTCTACATAAATCAATTGTAGATAGCTTTGCTATCAGTTGACCATGACCTGTTCAGTTTTTCTGGATGCAATCAAACAGCAACCGATATATAAACAAAAAATGACTGGCACACAGTGATTCCTATTTAATGTAGTGTGTCACTATCTGCTTTGGAAAAAATATTGGAACTGATGATGCATCAAAAGCATTAATGTGCTATTACATTTCAGCCCCATTTGCTCTGGCTGTAGCATAATTCATTTATGAATATTGCCTATCCTATAGTGCGCTTAGGCAAGGGCTTTTGCAAGGCTTTGGTATTCGTAGCCTTTAATGTTCCTTTGTGGCATACATGATAGTTTTCATTGATTCAGTGTTATTGTTACTGTAGAGCTGCCTGTCAAGTTTGTGAAGCGACTCAGGGATAAGATAGCGATGTATAAGCATCGTGGTCATCTTGAATGCCAAGTGTCACGTGCCAGTGCGATGGTGAAGTGGTACAAGAACAAGATGGAGATCAAACCCAGCAAGAAGTACGAGATCAAAAGTGAGGATGTGTACCGAAAACTCACCATCAATGAGGTCGAGTCCGGGGACGAAGACACATATACCTGTGACGCCTCTGATGACAAGACATCCTGTAAACTGCTTGTAGAAGGTAACACGATGGAAGATGACAAAGGTTAATTGTAAACTTAGTGTCAGCTTTAGCAATTGTAGGGTATTGATGCGTATGAGTGTGTAAATACATATACAAGTATTTACACAGAACAAGCCATCAGACTCACAGTCAATGAGGTATCCATATGTCTGTCTATCTATCTGAAATGATTAATTATTGTACTAATGAGGAATATGGGAACATTTTGTCGATTCATTTCTTGGCTATTTTGCAACAAGCGTGACCTACTAAATGAATTAACAGAAATTGGTATGTCAGATTATTTGTGTAAGAAATTAACCAAACTGTATTACCACTGCTGGTGAAGTAATCCATGCAGGTGTTTTCAATTACTCTGACTGATTAGACATGTGTGAGGTCATTTCAGTTCAGTCCATGGACAAAGAATAGGCCTTTTTCACAGAAGACATTTTGACATGTCACAGTAGGGCAAGTACAGGTGTAAAAAAATAAATTTAATGATGGCCAAATTCCACTTAGTTGCTTGGTTTTGGCGTGCAGGTATTGTGCATGCTGGCTCACTGTCACACTGTCATGACTCACTAGGACACTTGAATAGTAACAAGCCATCGTTAATGTTATTAGTAACACCTGTGCTATTCCTACTATGACAAGTCAAATTATGTGCAGTATTCAAGAGCAACAAAACACACAGGAGAGTGAGATGTCGCACCAGCCAAAATACCTGAAAACACTCGTAACACAAGTGTTTAAAGGCATTAAAATAGGACAAAATTTGTTCCTAGCAGAGGATTTACATTGGCCATCAAGTTTATGATGCATTATCATGCCTCCGTGTCAACGACAGCCAGGGCCAGAGGCATTATGTTTTCAGGTTGTTCGTCTGTCCTATTCCTTGCAATTCTTCCCCCCAGCGTCTTTAGGGAACTTCTTCAAATTCTTCTTCAAACATTCATTTGGACTCAAGGATGAACTGATTATATTTTGGTGGTCAAAGGTCAAAGTTCAAGGTCACAGTGATGTCACCTTCTTGTGAATGCAATATATCGGGAATGCCCAGAGGGAATTTCATTGCATATGGCACAAACATTGTATTGGACTCAACTTCAATGGGACATCATAATGTTCTGCGAGAACACTTTATTTCAGTGCTGCAGGGTGGTAATTCTAGTTTCATTAGGAAATGATACGTCGCTGGAAATGACCAATGAACTGTTGGGCCAATCACAAAACATTATTCAAAGAATACTATAATTTGTCAAATTTGTATCCTACCTCTTTGAATGACAAAAAATAAAGTTAGGTTTAAGTTTTTGCAAATTGACTTCTATGGCAGGTAAAATATTGGATGCCATTTTTCTCACCCCTAGTGTTTGACAATAACGTAAAGTATATGGGATTTGCAATTCGATATGGGTCTTTAAAAAAGGATAAACCAACAGTATGGTCCTATAAATCAAAATTACTTTTATTTTATGAAATAATTTAATTGATTTCGAACTAAACCATTCTCTTTTCATGATCCCTCCAGAGCAGTCCATCAGCATTGTGCGGGAGCTTAGTTCAGTAGAAGTGACAGAACCCTTTGCAGCTGTTTTTGAAGTTGAAATCAGTATGGAACTGGTGAAACCTCCTGTATGGACTCTGAATGGAGTTGCTGTGCAGGAGAGTGCTGATGCTGAAATGGAGAAAGAGGGCACTATGCACCGTCTCACTTTCAAAAAGACCAAAGAATCGATGACAGGACCTGTGCAGTTTACAGCTGGGAAGAGCAAATCTCTTGCCCAGCTCACAGTCAAAGGTAAATATGTTCAACCACGTGTTAGTACAGTAGGTGCTTATAATCATTTATATACTGAAAAACTACTATAGGCAAATCTAATCAGATATTGTTCCTCACATTTAGAGCGTCCGCTTGAGATTGCAGAGCCCATGAAAGATGTGAAGGCGAAGGAGAAAAGCTCAGCCATACTCTCGTGCAAGTTCTCCGCATCACCCAAAGAGGTTAAATGGTTTAAAGGTCAGGAACCTCTGGCAGCATCAGACAAGTATAACATGAAGCAAGACGCTACGAGGGCTCAACTAACCATTCAAAAGTTAACTGGGGAAGACAGCGGAGAGTACCGCTGTCAATCTGGACCTGCTGAGACCAAAGGCACACTTACTGTTGAAGGTACAGTGCACACCTTTGAATACCACAGAAAATACAACAGTTCACATCACATCACATAAAGCATCTGTTTTCAAATGGTTTTGGACTAAAGTGGTCTTTAAACTAAAACTACTGTCTTGTTTCTTCTGTCTAGTGCGTGAAATTAAATTCACCAAGCATTTGGCTGACACGGAGGTTGATGAAGACAGCGATGCAGTGTTCACATGTGAGATAAACTATGCAGACGAAGAGGCACAGTGGCTTCTAAATGACAAGGTGCTCTTCACTAATGAAGTCAACACCATCACTCATGAGGGGAAGGTTCACAAGCTCATGCTGAAGAACTTGGCACCTAAGGATGGGGGGACTATCACCTTTCAAGTACGCAAGGTGAAAGAGTCTGTTACGCTTAAAGTTAAAGGTAAGAACTATCAATCACTAATTATTTAGAACACAAAAAAAGATTTCTCACTTAACTTTATGACAGGAACCAAGTTTCTCAGTTACATAACATTTCATAAGATCATTTTACTGCCAGAAGCCAGGAGTAATCAGATTACTTACCTGAAAATAAATAGTGGGAATAACCAGAGTCAACCAAAAAGATGAAAGCATAATATACTCATAGGCCATTCTTTACTTTCTTAATTGCCCTGCAGAGAAGCGTGCTGTGTTCCTCAAGTCTTTAGATGATGTCATTGGAGAGGAGAAAGGCATGATAACTTTGGCGTGTGAGGCGTCCAAGCCCAGGGTTACTCCCACATGGAGAAAAGAAGGTAAAGTCTTGAAGGCCGGACCAAAGTATGAGCTCCTTCACACAGGCAAGTCTTTGGGACTGATCATCAAGGACGTCACCAAAGATGATGCTGGGGAGTACAGTTGTGATCTTGGAACTGAGGTTTCAAAAGCAAAAGTCACTGTGAGAGGTTGGTGCTGTTGTTTGAGATATACAGTTTTACAGTCTTAGCCTGGATACACATGGATTTGTTTGGCATCTTCACCACCTTATGTTCTCTGTCCCAAATTTAGAGATCGGCATTGGAATTACCAAATGGCTGAAGTCAGCTGAGGTGAATGAGGGAGAGACATGCAGCTTTGAGTGCATCCTGTCCCGTGAGAGCACAGATGAGTGCTCATGGACTGTTAATGGCCAAACCATTTCAAAAGGAGGCCGTTTTGAAGTCACCAGCAAAGGCCGCAAGTACATACTAACCATTAAGGATGTCACACCTGCTGATGCTGGTGAGGTAGTCTTCAACATTAAAGACCTGAGCTCTAAAGCAACATTAACAGTTGAAGGTAAGCTACATATATGTTTTTAAGAGGCCTAGACAAAGGTACAAAAAAATTAAGGTGTTGAAATAAACCTTTCATCATCCCTCGGTGCAGGCAAAGCTTCATCTGTGTCCAAAGCACTGCAGAACGTTAGTGCTGTTCAAGGGGAGGATGCAGTATTTACCTGTGAGGTGACACAGGCTAGTTCCACTGTAAAGTGGGCCAAGGAAGGCAAAGCCATTAGAAAGAGCCAGAGGTATGACATCAGCCAAGAGGATAAGGTCATGAAGCTCATCATCCATAATGTCTCTGCTCAAGACTCTGGAGAGTACAGCTGTGAAGTTGTTGGAGGTGCAACCACCAAAGCCCAACTTGAAATAAAGGGTAAGACTGAAATGACTAATTAATTATTAATCTTGGACTGTGTGAGCATTTAAGATACTTAACCTATGCCAACACTTGTTGAGACAATGGTTAATCAGTATATTAAAATTAGAATCAGTTCAGGGGTAATTTTATTTTCTTAAATCATAGAGTAATCTTGCAATTTCAAACTGTGTCCACAAATTTAGTGAGGTTGTTCTCTTTTTACAGAGCCAGTCCATAAGTTCACTGAAGCACTGAAGGACAGCCAAGCAGATGAGAAGAGCTCTGTGACCCTGCAGTGTGCAACGGCTCAAACCCCATCCACCGTGATATGGCTGAAAGGTCACACAGAGCTCAAGGCTGGAGGTCGATATGAGATGTCCCAGAAAGAGAGGGTCTTAACTCTCACCATCAAACACTTGGAGGAGAAAGACACCGATATCTACACTTGTGACGTGGGCACTGCTAAGACCATAGCAAAGGTGACAATTAAAGGTAAGGACTTAAGTGTCTTGTCAAGTTTTTGTCTTACATAGCTGATTAGCTTTATGAATTCTTTTTAAAGAGTTGATTGAATAAAAATGTTTAGAATGTCTCATCTTTGGAAGATATGATAAGGGTATAATATGGAAGAAAATAAATACTGCTAAATCATTATTACTTAGCAGGTGCTTAGAATAGAATTTGTAAACATTCGTAGATTAATATAAAGTAGGGACCCTCAATATCAGATATCTAAAAATTGAATATTTTTTTGAAGGATTAACCTGTGATGATGCATTTTGCATGTCTTTCTTTGCAACATCTATCGAAGGCCATCAAAATCTCAAGCTCCTGCATTCAGTATTATTTTGTGCCTGTTTAAGTTTGGTCATGCCACAGAAAGTGAATGCTGTATGACTTAGCTCATAGTTTGGTTTGGTCTCACTTTAAAGGCCACTCTGTGGTTATTGTGGAAAGACCACAGGATGTTCATTGTTTTGAAGGGGAATCTGCTACATTTGTTTGCCGTGTCAGTCCTACTGATCTACCTAATGTACAGTGGTGCTTAGGTCCCACCCCTTTACAGCCAAGCCCCCTGAGTGATATTCAGGTTCTAGACGGGGGTATCCGTTCTCTTACCGTGAGAGACTTGACTCCTGGGGACTCAGGCACCATCTCTGTGGTTGCCGGGGATCAGAAAGTATATGCGTCCCTTGATGTCAGAGGTAATTGATACAATTCCTAAGCGCTTACAAATCTACTTAAAGTGTGGATTTGTCAAAATGCCATAGATTAGTGGAATTGTTACTACATCTTTTGTATTTTCCAATAGAAAATGGTTCTCAGTGTCTTGCTTTGCGATTGTATTACTGAAGGATCTGCTTTGCATCTCTATTGTCATTGTCTTGGGATTTGTGTGATTAAGACTGATTGTACATCCACAAATTGTAAACGACATCATTCAGTATGTGCAAAACCTTTCCCGAAATGTATTGTCTTGTTATGCAAGGACTGCTCACTGCATAAATGAATGTTTCCTATGTTAGTAATCCTTTGTGCATTTCAAAAGGATTTCATCATGTAGCATTGTAATGACAGTTTGTTCATCAATAGGAACACCAGCCCAAGCTAGAGAAATGTTTGGGTTCTGAAGGCTGCTGATGGACAACAGGAGCATGTCATCATCCATCATCTTCTTCTCTAATCATTTTCCACCCTCCATCACAACCCAACAACATGCAACACCCAGTTTTATATAATCAAATCATTGTTCCTTTCATTTTAGCCCTGCCAGCCAGTTTCAAAGAAAAACTCAAGAACCAGGATAGAAAAGAAGGGGAGAGTGTGACACTGTCTTGCGCGTTATCAAAACCTGCGGCTAACGTTCAGTGGAAGAAAGGCTCTGAAATCCTCGAAGGTGGAGAGAAGTATGAGATGAAGCAGAAGGACACCTGTTTGGAACTTCAAATTAAGGATTTGAAGGTTGAAGATAGTGGAGAGTACTCTTGTGTCTGTGGAGACCAGAAGACAGCTGCAACTGTGAAAGTCAATGGTATGGATTCATGAAGTCTTTTCCCGAAAGTTTTTGGAAAAGTTTTATAATTACAGAAAACAAGTGATTATGTTGTATTTCCCAAAAGAATTCCACTTGTGTTGCCTTGTACAGCATTACCGCCGACCTTCACACAGAAACTGAAGAGCCAGGAGGCCGAAGAGGGAGTCAGCATTACTCTGCAGTGTGAGCTCTCTAAACCCGGAGTCCCAGTGGAGTGGAAGAAGGGAACACAGGTCCTGAAGTCTGGAGAAAAATACCAGATGAAGCAGAAAGCCTCTGTGAATGAACTCCTGATCAACAAGGTGGTGCCAGAAGACAGCGGAGACTACAGCTGTGTGTGTGGAGACCAGAAGACCACAGCCAGCCTCAAGATCAATGGTAGGATGCGGATTTTCAAATGGTCAGTTAGAGTAACATTTCTAAGAAGAACAAGCTATTTCTATATACATATTTAGACATATTTAGTGAGGGGCCTTTGTGTTTTCAGGGCTTGCAACTTGTCCGTGTTTGCCTGTTGTGTTTTGTGCTTGTTTTTTGTACTGTTTTTCTGTAAATATTTCTCAGTATTTTATTTTATGGCATGCCACTGACTGCTAACCAACTAACAAATGCTCAGCCCAACCAGTGACCTTCAAACACAAGATGGAGAGTCAGGAAGCCGAGGAGGGAGCCGGCGTTACTCTGCAGTGTGAGCTCTCTAAACCTGGAGTCCCAGTGGAGTGGAAGAAGGGAACACAGGTCCTGAAGTCTGGAGAAAAATACCAGATGAAGCAGAAAGCCTCTGTGAATGAACTCCTGATCAACAAGGTGGTGCCAGAAGACAGTGGAGACTACAGCTGTGTGTGTGGAGACCAGAAGACCACAGCCAGCCTCAAGATCAATGGTAGGAAGAGGATTTTCAAATAGTCAGTTAGAGTAACATTTTTAAAAAAGAACAGCTATTTCTATCTACATATTTAGACATGTCTACTTAGGAGTCTTTATGGCGTCAGGGCCTGCAAATTGTCAGTGTTTACCTTTTGTTTTTATTTTTTTCTGTACGATTTTTGTATAAACATTTTTAATATTTTATTTTATGGCATGCCACTGACCACTAATCAAGTAAAAAAATGCTCAGCCCAACCAGTGACCTTCAAACACAAGTTGGGGAGTCAGGAAGCCGAGGAGGGAGCCGGCGTTACTCTGCAGTGTGAGCTCTCTAAACCTGGAGTCCCAGTGGAGTGGAAGAAGGGAGCACAGGTCCTGAAGTCTGGAGAAAAATATCAGATGAAGCAGAAAGCCTCTGTGAATGAACTCCTGATCAACAAGGTGGTGCCAGAAGACAGTGGAGACTACAGCTGTGTGTGTGGAGACCAGAAGACCACAGCCAGCCTCAAGATCAATGGTAGGAAGAGGATTTTTAAAGAGTTGTGACATGGAATGTTTTTGAAAAAACCTTATGTAATAGGTTTTTATTTGTACATATTTAGACACATTTTATAATGGAGTCTACATAACATTGTAGATTGCACCTCATCAGTGTTTGTCTTTATATTCTATGTCTGCTTTTGGCGCGACTGCAACAGCAGGGCCAGCCCTACAATCGTGAATTTCCCTGACTGACTGATTGACTCAGTGATTGAGTTGAGTGATCATAGTTCCACCATTGGTCAGCCAAATGCCACCTGACTGAGTTGGAGTTTCCCCATTGGCCGATGCACTTTCAAAATGAATTGGCACAAACAGTTTCTATTAGGGGGGTGTTTACAGCTTACAGTTTAACAGCCTGCATTGTTGCCAATTTAGAGCATTTGTTTTTAAATTTAGAAACACGTAGCAACAAATCTAACGACTTTTTGGACAAATCTTGGCTACTTAGAACAGACTGGCTTGGATGTTAACATGTAGTCTAAATTGGTCTTGTTATAGTCACTATTTCAAACTTGTTCTGTTGTCTGACAACAGAAAGAAAAACATGTGAACGAGAAGAGCTTCATTGGAAATTCGGCTGTATTAAAACACTGTATATGTGAGCACAGAGAGTAGGAGAGAAGCAAACAGATAAAGGTCTGAAACAAGGCTGACATGAGGCAGAATGCAAATAGGATGAAATGATGTTAGTTATTTAAAGCAATTCCACAACAGTTTTCAGCTATCTCCTCAATTTCGCACATTGACAATACGCAGTCCAGCCAAATGATAGGTTTTGACCAAGTCTTGCTTGTGTAATACATTTTTTGAAAGATTTTATGTTGTCACATGACACTGACCACTAATCAAGTAAAAAAATGCTCAGCCCAACCAGTGACCTTCAAACACAAGTTGGAGAGTCAGGAAGCCGAGGAGGGAGCCGGCGTTACTCTGCAGTGTGAGCTCTCTAAACCTGGAGTCCCAGTGGAGTGGAAGAAGGGAACACAGGTCCTGAAGTCTGGAGAAAAATACCAGATGAAGCAGAAAGCCTCTGTGAATGAACTCCTGATCAACAAGGTGGTGCCAGAAGACAGTGGAGACTACAGCTGTGTGTGTGGAGACCAGAAGACCACAGCCAGCCTCAAGATCAATGGTAGGAAGAGGATTTTCAAATAGTCAGTTAGAGTAACATTTCTAAGAACAACTTTTTCTACATACATATTTAGACATGTTTGACATGGCTTCAGAGCTTGCAAATTATCCATGTTTGCCTTTTATGGTTGTTTGTGTACCATTCTTATATAAACATTTTAAATATTTTATTTTATGGCATGCCACTGACTGCTAACCAACTAACAAATGCTCAGCCCAACCAGTGACCTTCAAACACAAGATGGAGAGTCAGGAAGCCGAGGAGGGAGCCGGCGTTACTCTGCAGTGTGAGCTCTCTAAACCTGGAGTCCCAGTGGAGTGGAAGAAGGGAACACAGGTCCTGAAGTCTGGAGAAAAATATCAGATGAAGCAGAAAGCCTCTGTGAATGAACTCCTGATCAACAAGGTGGTGCCAGAAGACAGTGGAGACTACAGCTGTGTGTGTGGAGACCAGAAGACCACAGCCAGCCTCAAGATCAATGGTATGAGGATAAGTGATTGGAACCTCTACGATATATTAAGATGTTCAAAATGTTATGTTATTCATAACGTTGGAAAACTAACTAATTTCTTCCATTTTGTCTCATAACATATTTTTTGCAGGCAGTGTATTTGTTCAAATTTAATCACAGATTATTTTAAACTGTGATGTTGAATTGATAGGAATAGTATTTGTATTTGATTATTTGATCTTTAAGCACTTGTATTGAAAATCTTGCTTTTGCTGTGAAATTTTTGTCACTTTGTTTGTTTGTGGTTGTTGTTGTGGTTGTTGTTGTTGTTGTTGTTGTTGTTGTTGTTGTTGTTGTTGTTGTTATGTTGTCTTGTTTCCTGTTTGCTGGCTCATAAAATGTCAGGCTTTCTTTGTGGATGTCTAATGTCAGATTCATGAGATGTTTCCTTCACATTGCATGTGGTGAGTCAGCAGGGTTGGATCCCCTTCGTCATTGCCCTTAATCTGATTTTTGAGTTTGAAAATTTTTGTTTTGAAGACTTTTCAGTCACTTCTTTCATTTTTTCTCTTTTGAATTACTTTTCACTATTTGTACCGGAAAACAAAATCCACCACGACCACAAAAAAAAAAAAAAACAAAATCACGACAACAAAAAAAAAAAAAAAAGATAGAAAAAAAAAAAAAACGAACAAAACAAACAAAAAAAAAAAAAAACAAACACAAAACACCACAAAAAAAATCCGATGCAGCAAAGAACACTGCCAATATCGAGTCACCTCACAACTAAAACATACACCACCACACTGACACACACCACACCATCTACCCACACCCTCACTCATTTACCACAGATTTGATCACATCTTCCTTTGCGTTGACCTTGCTCCGTTGCTCCTACTTTTTGTGTGTTCTTATGGTTTTGTTCCTGTTTTTACTTGGTAGTGAGTGTTGACACCTAATTGGTCTCTTCTGGTTGTAATTGGTTGTATATCAGCTGTGTGATCTGTGGTCCTTGACTCAGCTCATGTACTACTAACCGCCCGTTCTGACAGCACCTAGTCAGTCGACTACTCCCTCAACACTCATACACAAATCTTTGAAGCTATTTATTGCTAAGCACGCGAAACATTTAGGT